GCATTTTGTGAAACTTTCTCCACGTAGTGTAAGAGAATAAAATCAAAGTGATTGCTAATTTTCAACAACAATAAGAATATTAGGTTTTATCAAATTAGATTAACCCGTCTTATTAACTCTTTCATCACAAACCAACTCACCATACATTATTCTATGATCAATTAAAAAAAAGGTATTACGATATCCTTGCTGTCTTCTATCAAATGCAGTTTGTACAGTAATTATTGTATCAGACACTGCTGGTTCAACTACCACACGCATAAAATAAAGATTGTACAGTTCCCACAGTGTGCCTGTCAAAGACAGGACCACGGACACCTGAGCACAGTCTGCAGACCTGCTCACTCTACCTAAAACTTTGAAAAGACACCTGGCCTCAAGAGCAAAGTGTGCAGAGCAAGCTATGGGGAACCAAGAAGGACCTGCTACTGACATGCGAGTTCATAGAGGCAACCCACCTGATGGTCTGATCTGAGCATATGAAACCAAAAGCAAAGAAGAAGAAGAAGTATCATAATTAGTTTTTGAACTACTTCTCCCCCAAAGTGTTTCTGATGAACTCATTCTTACTGATTTTTTTTTCAAAAATGGCTTCAAAATTGACCCAGCCTTGAGTGGGTACCAGGTGCAGTTCTTCTAGGAAGTAAAGGCGGCCAGCATGATGCTGACCACATCAATCACCAAGTCCCGATAGGTCTATAAAATACAGGTCTAGCCCTATATGCCCAATAAACCTGAAGGCATGGAAAATGGTCCTTTACTTACTTCAGACCTGTACTTTACTGTCGCCCACCACTGTTTGAAGAACACTGATTGAGACAACACCTTCTTCTTCTCTTTCTCCAGTTGCCTCATTGGAGTGTGCAGGGGAGTTAAGTGTAAGGATTTCCTGCATGTTCTTGGTAATATACTGTATATAAGCCCAACTCCTTGGAATAGGGGACCGACCGTCCAGAAAGCAATGGCAAATTACTGGACTTAAATTTGCCTAGAGAAACCACACAACAGCCAGGGGCTGCTGGGGTTGGTTCTGCAACGTCCTGTAAAGGATAAGCAACTAACCTAACCTTGGAATAGGAAGTTATAACAATAACTGCCTGAGACTAAAAGAATATGTTATTTCTTTTGTTATATTTTTTAAATTCACACAGTTCAACACTAAATGTAAGGGTGGTTTGAGCTGAAACTTCTACAAATAGTAATCACTTTCACACTTTTTTTTTAAAATAAGAGACTTTCTGTACAATAATTTGATAGAATTTAACTAGATAGCATCTTAAGTTACACTGAATGTTTAACTTCTCCATCATTTAGTCAGTTAGGGATTCTCTCTAAACAGTGTTAAAGAGTCAACGCTCTTCGTGAATATACATATTAACATTACTAAATGTTGTCACTAGCAAGTGTCCAGTAGACTATCTGAACAAGAACTACACATAATCAATGCTCATCAATCGTTTTTACGGTCATTGAAGACACCACAGCAACCTCCCGTACACTTCAAAAGTTGGTGGAGAAAGTAGAGACATGAGCAAAGAAATGAAGTCTAAAACTTTCAACCACCTTCTCGTCTTTCCAGACGACAATGTTATATTGTTGTAGACAGGCATAGGAATCCTAGTCAATTATGGCCAGGGATGAAATTCATCTCTTCAGAGCACAAAACCTAGGCATCATTGTAGATGCCAGGTGTTGCCCATGCAGCATGATCCCTCTCTCGGCCTGCCTTGTTTAATCAAAAGGAAAGGTGACACCAATAAGTTTGGAACAAAGTATGCAGCAGAAGCTACCAATCAGAAGAGCAGTGTTTTTTGGTGCGTTTGTTGGAGCTTCCTTTATAGATCAACTTTCAACCATGACTATGGTCTGCCCGGCTATAACTATTTTTAGATAACATTTCCTCGTTCTGTCATAAGGATTGTTAATCTTCTCCTTTATGCCCTTCTCCTTCTGATGCCATTTGCACAGTGTAGAATGGCATGTTTTCTCTGTGTGGGTTCCAGGGCCCTATTTTGGGGAAAACAAGAATAGACCCACTGCCTACTCAAAAGCTTGTCATAAGAGTCAAATAATTAGGAGCTTCCTTCAAAGTCGGAGTGCATCTGCCTAAGAGGTAAAGAACCAGCAGTCTACATACAAATGAGTCAGATATGTAAAATGGATGCACACGCGACACTCAGGTTCTGGAATAGGACTGCAGTCCAGAAGTGGTTGAACAACCATAACTTTCTGTCAGAGTTTACAGCTGGTGAACGTGAAGAAGAAGAGGAAGGGCAGGTTTGGTTAGGACTTCCAGTATTTTGTGATAACACTACCAACTACTGTTATACAGAAGCTTAGTCATTTACGACTTTTGGAAGTTTACCACTTTTGGGAGGGGGGGGGGGGGGGGGAGGATACAGTGTAGTTATACTAGATACAAGGTTCACCTGGAAGCCAAACACAGAAGAAGAAAATCAAATCAAAAGTCATACACACTCGCTGTAATGAGAGGAAAAAACTGGAGGAAACATACTGTGGAGCCAGTACAAATGCATGAAGACAACCTAGAACCTTTTATGGAACACACCTAAACCTGGCTGTTGTGTGGTGTTCCTATTATAGGCAAAGTATATATTTGACGAAGAAAAACTATCTAGTTTGCCATGCAAATTTAAAAAACTGACCGGACAGTCGGCTTTCTTGATACCATTACCTGTCGAAACTAAATCTGGAATTTCCAGCAAGGCACATGCAACCCTGGCAGCTGGTGGTTTTCGAACCCGACATCCCGGCAGTAGGATTTCTGATAACGAATCGTTCCCGCATTGGGACTCCAGGAATTAGCCACAGAGCCATAGAGCCGACGGAAGTTCCAGGAATAATTTCTAAAAACAATAAACTAAGTCAGAACAAAGAGTTGTTTCACTCTATATTCTCATAAATCAGTATCCCCCAATATTTGGACACAGTGTTTAGAGAGGGTTTTGGTAAAGAAGCCATGAAATAGGAAATGAGCTAATCTACATTACACACACTAATTGCACCACAAGAGACACACACAATATCATCATACAAAGCTTGCATCAACTTTACAGCCACTCCTCCTTTGAACTGACTCCCAATACTCCAGTTCAACTAAATAAAAAATATGTGATATCCACATATGTAAAATCAGTTCTCCAAGCCATCCCATGCTCTACAGGGGACAGCACCAACTATACAATTTAAAAAATCAGAATGCTGCCCTCAAGAAGAGAACTAGTCCAGCAGTGAAGTCCAGCCTACTATAGATCCACAGAAATGGAAGGGTAGAGCTTATGAATGCTACAGAAAACCTCATGCAACTCAGAGCTTTGAAACGCCAAAGACACTCTTAAAAAAAAAATAATCTATGAAGTTGAATTCGAGAGAAGACACAAATTAGACCCAAGCATCTTGTAAGGTGAGGGAAGAAAAAACCATATGAAACAACATTTCCATTTTATCATTGTCTGTTTGATTACAGAAAATATACTTCAATGCAAGGAACAGACTCGAGAGCTTAGTAACAGCTGGCAATATTTCTAGAAAGTAGACAGGAAAAAGCAAAGAGATATGGCTTGGTCATGGTGCACTGGTGGTACAAGAGCACCACCCTTTCCAGTATTCTACTGATCGTGTAGGATGGCCAACGCCGACCGCCTATGATTTTTTGGAATGGCATTTGATGATATTTCCAGGGAGAGGGGGGCGCTTGATGATTTTTTCAATAAAAAGGGAGGCGGTGGACCAAAACAGTTTGGGAAACACTGTTCTAAATAGTACTTCAGCACCTTTTCTTGACATCTTCTTATTCGTGAGCAGTAAGCCACTAGACGCTGAGGCAGATACTAAAGAGGGGATCTTAGTACTTTTGGACCGAATGGTTCAATGTGCGATGATGATAATCTGTAGACTAACTAACTAAAATTATTGCTGAGCTGTAAGTAAGTTATGAGTGAGTCTTCTTAAATGTTTCTCTTAGACGTCATCTTTTTCTCAGACCATTTGTTCCCCATTTCAGTGCCTGTTTTGTAATTCTTTGTTAATTTCGTCCTTGAGTGTAGCCAATATATCTTCACCTTCTTTGTCTTATTGCAGTCGATACACATATCTTTTTATGCATTCACTCCTAAAAGAAAGAGTGACAGGTATATTGTTTTGTGGTTTACAGCTAGCCTGTGCTATATGTGAACCAACACATCTAATTTAATTAAAACCTTCATTATAACCTTTGAGATATTCCATTGTAAGCGGTATAGATCTTTTCTCTCTCTTCCCTTAAAATGAACCCTCTCCCCTGGGGAGCTGCTTCACTGATAACAACAAAATATGACAAGATAATTTTATAAGAATATGAGTTAAAACAGAATACATTTATTTTATACGTTTCAACTTTGCAACATAAGTAGGCCCAAAGTTATTCATAAGATCTGGAAGTATTAGCTGTCCATATTTTGACTGTTTGTAGAATTTGAAAACCTTGCTGAACAGTTTTGTGAGGGGGGACAGATCATAAACTGCAACCTCAATCTGCAAAAAAAAAAAAAGAAACAAAATAGATAAACTAGACAAAAAATTCATCAGCATTTATATATTTTCCCTTAGCGTTTGTGCGTGGCATCCTGATTTTTACAACGCGCCTTCTGGCTAGTTGCCTCCGACTTCAGCACCTAATTTTAGTTTATTTTGGTACGCTAGATCGATGTTCTGGCATATGGGATCGAACTGTCCACCCTGACATGTGTGTGCGCCTATAAATAGGACTTTGGCATCATAGGCATCATTCTTTCATCAACATTTGTACTTAAGGCTAGACATAGCATTGTTGCTTTGTTGACCATTACGATGCACCTGGTGCGGTCCAACGACCTTGACTATGAACTTACATGAAAATGAAGGCAGTCAGAAAACGCACAGTCCTGATGCAGTTCAGAAACACTTCTGCAATCTTCTGGCAGTCATTATTTCATCAGAAATACAGGTTACATAAACAGTAGACAGCTAAGTATAGGATTTTTATGAACAGATCGAGGCGTGAAACTTCCAGCCACCATTTTGTTGCGTCCAGTGAGCACTCTCAATCAGTGCAAGTCAAACTTTACGGGTCACTGAGTGAATTATAAAAGACAGTGAAGTTTATACTTGAGACAAAATGGCAGATATAGATAATCTATTTCAAGCAAACGAAAGAAGAAGAAGTATATATAAAACTCATATAATCATACAATACACTCAAAAAGATTAATGTGTTTCAATAATAAATAATTTCTTCTATTTTGGTAAGGTTGGTGGCTAGATGCCGGCCTGCGTGTCCTGCTAGAGCCGGACTTTTTTTCTCTCTTCAAAAATGACCTTGACTCCCAGGTTGACCCAGCCTTGAGTGGGTACCAGGTGCAGTACTGGGAAGTAAAGGCGGCCGGTGTGATAGTGACCACATCACCCACTAAATGCCGACAGGTCTATAAAAATATAGGTCGAGCCCTATATTCCCAATACGCCTAAAGGTGTGGAAAAGGGACCTTGTACTCTTTTTTCATTTTGGTAAGGGGTGGGAAAGATTGTGACAAACGAGCTGACTGAAAGTGTTTAATTAATTAAAAAATAAATCAATCAGATGATGTAGCCCATTGTGTTTGTCTGCAGTCTTCTGTGTCACGAACCAACATGATTTCTTTGTATATAAAACTGCAAATACTGCCTGTATTTATAAATTTTGCGGTGTATGTGGTCTGAACCTGAGGATTTAGGCTAGTTCTAACACCACAGAATATGTAGGTTACGATTTTATTTGTTGAGAAAGATGGAAAAATGCCAACAACTGCAGAGTACAGTCAAAGTGTTGACAAGTACTAACAACTTTTTATCTGCTCTATACTATTATCCATTGTCTGATAGCCAGGACTTTAAGTGGACAATGATTCCAAGGTAAACAGCTACCCTATCCTTATCCTTGAGCTGCTTGCAGGTTAGCGGAGGGAAGGAAAATAGATGACACATCCCATTAGTGCTGTTTGTGCTACCGTCTTCAGTATTCCAGGCCTTTGAGGTTCATTGCTGCAGACTTCACTTCCCTCCCTTCATCTCTGTGACTGACCTTCTCTCCAAATTTGGGACTTACATATCTTTATATAATTCAGACACAAACAGTACACTGCAAAGTTTATTCTTCTTCTTCAGTATTCCGAGCCATTGAGGTTCATTGGTGCAGATATCACCCACCTACATTCATCTTTCTGGTTGGCCTTCTCTTTCCAGTTGGTGACACCAAGCGTTTGCAGGTCTGCCTGGACATTATCACTCCATCGTCTTCTTGGTTTGCCTTGTGGTCTACGACCATTCATCTCCCCCGTGTATAAAGTTTTTACTTCTCTGTCATCCAACATTCTTTCAATATGCCCCAACCATTTCAGTCTTTTAGCTCTCATGATGCCAGTGATCAGAGCTTATTTAAACAGATTATGAATTTCGTTGTTGCTTCTCTTCCCCGCTGTTTGCATCTTTGATGGCAAAGTTTATTTCCAGGCACATTCTGCTGTCTCTCATCAGGTGCATTACTACAGAGTTAAATCAACATATAATCTACTGAAATACAAACAGTCTCTTTCGATACATTGTTCATCTAATCACTGGAAGTTCATGATTAACAGATGACTTACCAGGGTAACTTCAAATTTATGCTGAACTATGTACCTGTTAGAGATTAGATAGTTTTCCTTGAGGGTCCTCAAAATGGTGAGGTTTTACAAAAGTGGGGATTTTGGTCCTACACTTCAACTCCCAACTTGGAGAACCAGGGCATCTCTTTTTGCTTTTTCTACTCTTTGATCTTTAAGTGTCTTTTTGTCAATATCGAAGAGGAGTTCCCGGAAACGATCAGCTAGCTTCCTGCCAGTTTCCCCAATGTATGCCTTGTTGCATCTTTTGCAGATTATGGCATTAATTAGGTTGCGGGATTAACAAGTAAAAGGTTCCCTAATTTGGAAAGAACCACTAAAAACTGACCGATGAAGTCTGGACAATAAAAGGACATGTCTTGCACGTAGTGCGGGAGCATTCAATAGTTGTGTTGTTTTGTGCATGTTTTTCTGCATTCCTATTTTGTTAAGCTTTTAAGACACATTTCACTAGAATTCCTTTGTATTAGCTTGACAGCAGTCACCCCCATATTTTCACCTTCGTTGGAGAGGCAGTGGGTCCAAGAATTTTTCCCACAATAGAGCCCCAGAACCCACACAGGGAACTTACTTATTGACTTCCCCTCGTAGTTGAATCTTACATGCTAGTTAAGGGAAAGTTGCCCCCACCCCAATGAGCCCAGAACGGTTTCGACTGAAATTTTTATCAGTGCTCCCCCCCCCCCCCCCCCCCCCCCCTATTGCAGAGCTTTTCTAATACATTATAGGTTGTTTTTACTAAATTCATTTCATCAGCCATACTTTTTTTTCCTGCCTCAAGTATGAGATCTGAAGTCTATTTGCAACGTCCTTATTTCAGGGATATGAACTGATTGGTTGTACACCAACCACCCAGTGCTAAATTGAAGCATGACGAGGTCAAGGTCGTTTGGAAACGAGTGGAAGCACGTACATATCATCATATCCTGAAGGTAATGCTGTGGCAGGGGGAAAGACCAGGGGTTGTTCTGGCTGACACTCAACACTCAGAAGAAAGGCGTGACCGTCATACTATCAGACTGCTTCCGGTGCATCGGAATTAGAACTCTGCGCTGGCTGACAACGATGGGGGAAGGGGGGGGGGGGAAACGGAGCACTAATAGGAATGCCCTGAGTACTGTGATGTCGTTTCTTAAAGCAACTCAACTTACCTCAGAGTTTCCAGACAGTGCCTCAATTACTGCCTGAATAACATGGTCATTCTGAGCAGGGGACAGGGTGCAGGTGGAGTAAACAATCGTGCCTCCAGGAACACAGCACCTGATTCCAGAACTGGAGGAGAAGAAAAAAAAGCCAAACTGTAAAAATCATGAAATAATGTAAGTCTGTAAAATATGCCCACCAGTTAAAAAAACTGAGCTCTAATTCTGGAGACCTTGGTTAAAATCCTTAGTCATGTGATTTTTTTTTTCCTCTTGGCCTCTGACTTTAAAGGAAACCTCCAAATTCGTTACTTTTATGAGATCTGGTTGGGGGGAGGGGTGTCAGTGGGTCTATTATCCTCCCCCCCCCCCCCCCACAACACACACATGCACCAAAGAAGCCTCTGTGGTGGAATGGTCAAGCTGTTTGCCTCGTGCTCCAAAAGTCATGGATTTGTTTCATGGACTGCATCATTTCCCAGGTGGAATTATTAGGGAGATCTCTGAAGATCTTCACTGGAGCTACTGAGTTTGTGTTTCCTGTGATGCCGGTGGCTAGCAATTTTGCGGAGGGAGATTAAGCCATATGGATTGGAACCATGTGCAAAGAATATGATCCTCCTGATTTTAACTTTTCCCATGTGTGAGGCAGGAGAAGTCTGTAACTTGGAGAAATTTGTGCTTTGTACACTTTTTAGGCAAAGGCAATGGAGCTATCCCAAAGCAGATTACCCCCCCCTCTCCTTTCCTTTCCGGCTTGCTATTCTACTACTATATAATGCATAACACAGCAGTTCCCAATGAGCCAAAGTCTGTACACCCCTCCTATTTTTTTTTATAAGAGACCTCATAATTTTTAACAGTCATGTAGAATAACTTTTTAAAAAAATGCCTGTTTCTTAAACAGTGATACAAGAGTTGCACCGTGGCTGCAATATTCATGCAATATTCCCACAAACAGCAGCATCAGTACACTGTAGCCAACCTTCGTTGTTGAGACAGCACAGACTTTTTATTCGTCTTAGCGCTCACTGGATGTAAATTCTGGTGAAAAGTTCTGGTTGTTCACCCGTTTCTGGCCTATGGGCTTGTTCCCGAACTTGTGTTCTGTGTGCACATCTATTTTACAGATGTGGCTTATACATATGCAGACTGCTGGCTCCTCACCTCTCAGGCAGATGCACTCCAACTTCGAAGAAAACTCCCCTACTTAGCCACCTCGTACTATATGCTTGCTCAAGAGGCATTGAGTCTATTCCTTTTCCCCCCAGAACCCGCATGGTAATTACATTTTTTAAACTCAAGAACATTACAATTTATAACAATTAGAATTGCAGATAGGATTGCATTCTAAAGTTGAGGTTTTTTGTGTGTAAATAACATCATGCACCCCTTACTTTCTAATATTCCCATATGGGAAAGTTGACCATCAAAGGGGAATGTAAACCAGCAAGTGGGAAAGTGGACCCTCAAATCAAATGGGAAAGTAGACCACCAAATGGAAAAGTGGACCATCAAATGGGAAAATGGACCATCAAATAGAAAAGTTGGCCATCAAATGGTAGAGCAAACCACTAAATGGGAAAGGCTGGCACAAATACAACTTACATGAGAAGTTTCTTCTGAGTCTCTATCAATCCTAGTCGATCTCTGGTGCGAGAAAGTTTGAACAGGTTGTTGTCATCCTCCGTTACAGCATGACGATCAGAATTACAGGGAGCATCAACCAGCACCTGAGAGACCAGCAGCATTAAATAATAAACTTTTAATTCTTGGGTCTCTTGAATTTGTAAAGTGAAAAATTATTTATTAAAAAAAACCATTAAAAAAAACCAATCAAAACTCAGAATAGGACACTGTAAGCTCAGAGCACATCTACATCGAATGGGTCTTGCTAAACCGGCTGCATGTGGTTGTGGCTCACCAAAGCACTGATCGCTAAAACACCCCCTGCACCCACCCTTTGGTCAATGAAATACAGGCAGACCCCACACACAAAAAACACAGAGAAAAGAGTCAAAGAATGAGTTGAGGAGGATGGAAGGACTTTGCATGAGCCACCTGTGATAGCATGGTAGGATTTGTTGAGGGCTTATGCTCCATTGGGGAATTAAGAGGAGAGGAGAAAGAAGACGGTTAGAACATTTTGTAACATTAAAAAAAAAAAGTAAAAGAAATTTTAACATTAAAACATTTTTCGGATGGGAGCCAGGACAAAACACAGACCAGGCACTTGCCTGCAGGCACCAAGGACTGTGTGTAGGTATTTCTAAGGTAAAGTGGTCGACCCATTGCCTTGTGCTCTGAAGATCTAGATTTGTTTCACAGACAGGTTGTTCAGTTAACAAGTACAATTTTTATGGAGATCTCTGGAGATGCTGCTGGATCTAAACAAGTCCATGCTCTTTGCGATGCTCTCAGCAACAGGCTAGCCATTCTGCAGAAAGTTTCAGCCAAGAGGATCGACTTCAGTGAACCGGGTTTGATCCCATATAGCTCAGTCTCTCCACAGAGCGGCTAGAAGCTTGCCAAGACTGTCGCACAAAGCATGAATGGAGTAGCTTGGGGGATAATCCCTAGGATCTCCACAAAAATTGCACCTGTGAACTGAACGGCACCACCGTGAAACGAACCCATGACTTAAAGAGTGTGAGGCAAAGGTCTTGACCACTTTGCCACAGAGATTTTCTTCAGAATGTGACTGAGCCAAGGGGATTATTTGGGATAATGAAGATTATACTCTCGATTTAACCAATTTTTGAGTTCAAATCTACATAAAAGAAGACTTTTATAACTGACCTAAGACTCCCAGGTTGGCCCAGCCTAAAACGGGTACCATGTAACCCAACAAATGCCAACTGATGATGTAATGTTAACTCTTTTGCTGCTATGGATGTAATTATATGTTTGCCCCGCACACTGCTAGGGACATATTTCTGCATCTTCCATTTTCTGTGCCCTCACTGCTATGGACATTAAAACACGATTTTGATTTTCCCTACAGATGGCAAGGGGCCGTAATTCTCGGGGGTGAAAGGGCAATACACATAACCCAATGTCAGACACAAGTTGACCCATTTGCATACGACTGAAAACGCTATCACGTGCATTTACATGTAATCAGATGCTTTCCCCATTATCCTGTTGCTTTGCTTACCACAGAAGCATGGTCGGTGAACCGTGCATATTTTGCCTTGAAATATACTTATGGTTTTTGCACTAGTCTAAATTTTATTTAAAAAATACAAAATGGCAGGAAAAGTGGTTAATTCAGGAAGATTTAATGAAGTTTCTTTAAAGGAGTTATAGTAAGGATCACTTTGAAATGTGTGAGTTATGAGTTGGTTTATCTTCACAGCCCACAGGTGGTCATATGTACTGCTGGCTGTTAACCAAGGCGATCTGATTTAGTCATCACATCAGCATCTGATGGATTTGAAATGGGTTCCCAATCATCAACAAGAGGATATGCTCACGGACTGTAATGATGATTTTCTAAACTTTTCTTAGTTGCTGCGCCTTTTTTAAAATTAAAATTTTGCCACGGCGCCCTTACCCAAATAAAAGTATAACTATTTGTATGTAAGAAATTTTGAAAAAATAAACTTGTGTATCTTCGAATATTTGGCTCTTCGGGGCGCCGTGGTGCACAGTCTGGGAATCACTGTATTATACAACACTGGTCTTACTTTCAGCTGCCATTATCATATGGAACTCTACTGCAGTGGGTATTACATCTGCCTCACAATTGAAAGGTCCTACGTTAAACCCCTGTATGACCTTTTCTTTTCAAATATTTTTTTAAGTATCAATTTTTAAGTTTCAGTTCTAAGTACTTTCGGTAACGGACCAAACAAGTATTCATAAAGAAGAAAAAAGTAATAACATGGTGACTACAATTAATTATGACTGAAGTGAGAGTAGTGGTAGATTTATCAATCAAATCTGGGGGTTTATATATATATATATATATATATATATATATATATTTCTATGGACAGTAAGTATTTAGTGATTAATTCTATTACTTAAAAAAAATATTTAAAAAAAGAAGTCCTCCTTATCAAGTTAAAGGTTAAAGTCGAGAGGAGAGGACCAAATTCACTGCACCAGGTTTTATTCCACATGGCTCGGTCTCTCTCCTCAGAAAGGCCACCTGCCCGCAGAGAGTGCTGCACAGAGCACAAACTCCATAGCTCCGGCGACATTCCTCAGGGACCTCCGTAAAATTGCCCTTGTGAAGTGAATGGCGCAGCCGTGGAGCGAACCCAAGACCTTCAGAACGGGAGGCAAACGGCCTGACCACTTTGCCACGAATACACGGTGTATACCTTGTTAAACCGAGGCTGAAATAACTCTGTAGCATCCAGCTTGGTGACACTGATTTTTTCGGCAACATCAGCAGGGAAGAATGAGTACAAAACATCTTTCAAACGAGTTAAGCGGCCTGGAGATGAATCGGTGCAAGTGAGGCTTCCTCCTGTAGAACAGAAATGTGATAAGTTTAACGTGGAGTTCTTGGAAATGAAAGAGCTGATAAACTAGCTAAGGAAGGTGCCAATGAAGAACAACCTGATGTATCAGTCTCTTATCAGCAAAAGAAGAGAATAATCAAATCAATCAGAAAGCCACCAAAAACCAGTACAAGATGGTTACCATTTTATGGACAGAAAAGAACAAGTTATTATTCTACGCCTTAGAACAGGACACAATCGACTTCACAGCCACATGTACACAAAATTTAAAATTGCTGATTGAATTAACACAGACAGTAAAGTTCATACTAGAGATAACATTGCAGATATAGACAATCTACTTCAAGCGAACGAAAGAAGAAAAAGAAGTTTAAGGTATTCAATAAGTCAATCTGAGTGCTGGTCTTAATAATCATAAATGTTGGTGGAATCTGGGTTCCCAAATTTAATTTATTCACTAACCCTTTTATCTCGCAAATGCTTCAATATGTATCGGGTGTCTTATTCCGTGACCCCGACCACTGAGGCTTACAGGTAAATCTGACATCAACTTGGCTTTCAAAAAGCTATTGGGGTCACAAAGACACCACACTAACTGCTAATTTTAGTTACTATATTCAGATCCTGGCCTATTAATTACTGCAGGTGCACATAGTAGCAATGGGATTTGATGACGCTTTTCGGAAACAGGCCCCTGCAGATATGGCCGAATATCCGCATATTTAGGGGACTGTGCCATGAAAAGAAGTGACTAGATTTGGTTTTCTCAGAATGACAGGGTTAGGTTTATTAAGAAAGTGAAAACTACATCTATCAGAATTCAAACCCATGATCACCAGGTTGACAGGCAAAGGATATACACACTCACACATATATAAAGTAAATTTTAAGAAAATGTAAGTATGTAGGCACACATATAACATCTGACAGAAGATGTTTCACAGAAATTGAGAACAGAATAGGACAGACTAAAACTGCATTTTATAAAGTGAAGAACATTTAATGCAATAAATATACACATCAAGACTGAAGTGAAAGGGGTATTTGACAAGGAAGAACAAAACAGTGTGCAGCGCAAAACAGCCACCCTCAGTCTACTTGATGATGAATACCCGCAGAACCTTTGGGTCCGTGTTTACACAGATGGGTCAGCAGAAAGCGCAGTCAGAAACGGAGGTGCGGGAGTGTACATTGAGTATCCTAATAATACCAGGGACACAGCCAAATTACCAGCGGGAAAGCACTGTCACAACTATGATGCAGAAGTTCAAGCCATCAAGATAGCGGTAGAGAAACTACTAAATACAGGGTATTTTTCACAACCAGTGGTATTCCTGACAGATGCAAAAGCAGTACTTCAGTCACTCCAGTCTGGAAAATTACCAAGCATACGGACACTATTATCCCAACTAGGCAACCGCTGTAAATTAGTAATGCAGTGGATACCTTCCCACTGTGGAGTTCCCGGAAACGAAAAAGCTGATAAACTAGCTAAGGAAGGTGCAACTGAAGAACAACCTGACATACCAGTCTCTTATCAACAGAAGAAGAGAATGATCAAATCAATCAGAATGCCACCGAAACTGGCACAAGATGATTACCATATTATGGACAGACCAGAGCAAGTTATTTTCCTTCGCCTTAGAACAGGGCACAATAGACTTCGCTCCCACATGTACAACAAATTTAAGATTGGCCAATCGACCATGTGTACTTGTGGACTGGCACCTGAAACAACAGATCACATCCTTCAAGACTGTCCCATATTCAACGCTTTCAGGCAAAACCTTTGGCCAAAAGAGACACTTGTGGAAGTCAAACTTTACGGGCCGCTTAGTGAATTACAAAAGACAGTGAAATTCATACAAGAGACGGCTTTGCAGATATAGACAATTTATTTCAAGCGAACGAAAGAAGAAGAAGAAGAAGAATGCAATAAATCCATATTATTAGATATTAGGAAAAGAATTCTCACATGCTATTTGGAGCCAGTTTTAACATATGGCTGTGAATAGTGAACAATTAATAAACAAGCCAAACAATTTCTTGAGGCGGCAGAAATGACACTTTTTAGAAGAACCCTTAGAAGTTCTTGGACAGCCAAAAAGAGCATGCATGCACGGACGCACCCACCCACACACACATACATATTCTGTTCATACCTGCATACACGTCAAGAGACTGAAGAATGGTATATGATTTGCCTCCTGGTGCGGCACAAAGATCTAGAACTTTGTCTGTTGGTTGAACATCTAAGGCAATCACTGGTATCACTGATGCTGCATCCATTAGGTAATATCCTAAACGACAAGAAAGATGAAAAGAAATGGATAAACAAGGAGATACATACCATAAATTGTGGCATATAAGTCAATTTTGTCAAGCTTAAAAAAAAACTTCTCAAAACTAGGAGCCGACTTGTAAAGCGGCTATAAAATACAAACTGCTGCCACTTAGCTGTAAACTAGTGGAACAGCACTCCTAACAACTAGTGTAATACACTTATGGTACCTCCACCAAGCTGCCACAAATATATTCCACTAAAACTTGTGTTTGGTGAAAATATCTGGCATATTAACACAAAAAATTGTCAAGGGTCAACCTATACGGCAGATATAGACATGGGACTTCAGGTCAATATGGAGGATAGGCGTGGCAACATTTTTTAGTCGAGGCAGGTTTTTGCTTCTGACAATAGCTGGTCACTGCCTTTTCCTCCATATATAAACTGAAAGGATACAGTTTTGTTGTGCAGCTTCTAAGTTGAGCGCAGGGCGCAACACTGTGAGCTGAAAGTTTCATTTGGAATGTTTTTCGACTGTGACCTACGTGGTTTATGTTGTGAACTGCAGATTAAGAATATTGTGAGTGACCTGTTGACACAGAACTGGTGGTACCTTATGTGATTAATCGCAAGTGCAGCCACTGTTCTGGTGTGACTGCTGATTCCCATCGATGATGAACTGAACTGCATTTCTAATGTTGGACTGTTTGTGTTGGCACCTCTGATGTCTACCTTATGCATTTAACGTGTGTGTATGCTACTGGATATGCTGAGACTGCTGTCTGTGTCAATTTTTCCACAAGGCACAGTAATGGACATTCAGTGTGGTTTACGTTGGTGCAGGGATAGATCAACCATGGGGTGACCGTCTGCTATGAAGTTAAAACTGCGATTAACCAATTACCCACATATAGACCTAACTGAGAATTATGAGCTAAAAATCTTGCAGTCAACTTGTATGTTGCAATTTGTGGTACTTATGTCTTGCTGTGCCTCTTGTATCCTGGTCCGCTGATGCGCAGAGCTACCTTCAGTAGTTTGGGGTGGATCCCTTCAAGGCTTGGAATCAGGCACTGTTAGATGAAGTATGTTAGGTGCATTGTCGGTTTCTAACAGTTGCTTTGGAACTAATAGAGATATTAAAATATGAATACAAAAGGCAAGAGGAGCTTTCATAGCAATAGGGGAATTTGTGGAGGCACAAGAAATACTAAACTTAAACATTTTTAAATACTAACCTCAAATCAGTACTGTTGATTGCAGCAGAAACATGGAGAACAATTAAGGCAATTACTAATAAACTACAAACATTCACTAAATTGTGCCTACACAGAATAAAGGGAATTAAATGGTATGATAGAATCACTAATATAACCTAGGAAAGAACTAAACAAGTTCCAGTGGACCAAAAGGTGAAGAAAAGATGCTTTCATTGGATAGGACTCATGTGGACAAAAACTGAGAATGATATTACTTGAATGTCTTTGCATAGGAACCCACGGGGCATAGGAATAAAGGAACACCCACAAACACACGGAGAAGGGAGCTACAGAGTGAAGTTAAAAAGATGAGGAGGACATGGAGAGAAATGCATAAGATAGCGAAGGATAGAATGACTCGACATGAGCTGGTTGAGGGCCTCAGCTGCATTTGGGGTTAGCAAGGCAGAAGAGGAACAGTTGCTTTGTTCAATCACTTCTGCTAATATATCCACCTGGCAAGTGTCTAAGAAAACGATATACTTACCAATTATTCTGTTATGAGATTTTGCTTGTGGAAACATCGACACATCTGCTCTTGGAAATACATAAGCATTCAAATGTTGCGATATGTTCAGAGCCTCAAAGGGTCGTATTTCAAAATTATCATCCAAATTCTGGAAAGAATTTATACTCATCTCTTCTCGAAGAAGTTTATCCCTCTCTGAATAGAACTGTTCAGTTGGGACAAAAACATTGATGTTTTGACTGTTCAAATACTCATCTTCAAGATTTCCCTCATTATCATTGCTAGAGTGTGGAGACATGTTCATGGAATCATCACTAGTGCTGACAGAGCTACTTGAAACCTGCTGATTGTTTGGTGCAGACAAACTCTCAATGTGAGTAAGTTCAGGCTCTCCTTCACTGTCATCTAAATGCATAAATGTTTTTTCATTCTTTTTTTTATCTTGTAATTTCCGAACACGATCGATAAAATTTATCAGATTCAAGTCGCCAAGCTGTGATGCTATTTTCTCTGAATTGCCATATTTATTTATTACAGCACAGTATTTTGGTAACGATAGAAGAGACACTCTGATGGACGGCCACTGGTCACCAAAGTAAGGCTTGTAGAAAGCATCAAAATTACTCAGTGCAAGCTGACAGTTGGGCATTTCCTTCTGGTTTACTGCCTGTCAACAGAAAAAAAATGATGTTACTCACTCTAGCTCTGTTACCTTGCAAAAAAAGTGTGCACTGTGTGTGTGTTTCATACAATTTTAACAAGACTTAGTTATTAGTTAACTCTTTTGATCCCAAGCAACACCTGATATGCAGGTGGTTCTATCCCCTGATTTCCCTTCATAGCACTTATACCATTTAGTAAGAAGGTAATAAAGCAATAAGGCTTCCCAAGGGTAGTTTTGATTGTTTTTACTGCCGCTTTCAAAGTAATGGTATCAGGCACCTGAAGATGGTATCAAGCCCAGAGCACGCACTCTGTAGCTCCGACGATGATTCTTTTTAATTATCAAATACAAAATCCGTAGAAAATAATCTTTCAGTGTGGAAGTAAACGGTGATCCTAGTATTGCCTGCCTGCCTGCTAGGGAAGAGGCAGAGCATGTGCCTGACAGGTAACAACAGTCTGCATTCCAATAAGACAGATCTGTAAAATGGATGTTTACGCTAAGTTCTGGAACAATACACAAGTAATTTATCAGACAGTTACTGGCAATCTGGCCGGTCCCAACCACAATGAAGACAAAACTGTGTGGTACACGAGAAGATATGGATTGCACAATAGCTTTCATAAAAGGCTACCGACCTCCTGATATAAGTTTTGTGACAGAAGGATCGAAGAAGAAGACTGTTACTGGTACCATCAGAATTTTAACTTTTCACTTGCTGCTGAAGATGGGGACGGAGCACTTACAGGGGTGTCCCGGGTGCTGTGATTCTTAATTCAAAATTCAAAATTTTCAACGTAATGCATTCATGATCATAAATGGTCATTTCATCACTCTGACATCTGCTGCAAAATCTTCTGTTACCAAAAAAGTTAAAGCAAGGCAGTATTAATGAAAGAAACGTTAAACAGAAGAGGCCGACTAATAAAGACCTGGATACAGTATGTGGCTGAATGGACAGACTTCAAACATACAAACATTACTGTTTCTGACCATCATAGGTCGGGGAGGCTAATAAGACAGTCAGCAATAGGTGATCTAACGACATGTGGTGTTTTGGGACTATATGATAATGATTTTAACCTCAAACATATTCCAGCAAATTATGAGGTGAGGAAAAGATGATGGTACTGGATAAGACACATACAGAGATAACTGTGTAATAATAATGCCCCTGCATTCTCAGTGTGAGTTCTGGGATTCCATGGCAGGGGAAGGGGGCATTGTCCTGTAAAAGTGTTGTCAAAGGCAACTTGCCAGCTTTAACTCTTTGAGTCCCAGGGGGTTTAGCAGCACATGCCGAAGGAGTAGTCAAGAGAGACGTAAAATAGGCGCATCATGCATTCATTGGGCCTCTAGGTAGGAATCTATGAACATATGATGCGTTCCGTGGGAGTCAAAGAATTCATTTAAGTGTGATTGAAGAAGATTTCCTTGCTGTAAAACTCAAAGAATAAAAGATCCCTGTGTCCAGGGCCCTATTTTGTGGAGAAAAGAACAGACCACTTCCCCCTAACAAGCATGTCATAAAAGGCAACTAATTAAGGGTGTTTTCTTCAAAGTGGGAGAGCATGTGCCTGACAGGCTAGGAACAGCAGTCTGCATTAGAATAAGACAGATCTGTAAAATGGATGCTCAAGCAAAGTTCTGGAACAAGACACAAGTCCAAAAGTGGACAAACAATCAGAACCTTCAACCTGAGTTTACAGATGGTGAACGCTAAAATAAAAGAAGATAAAAACATAACAAAAAATTGCGTCCCGTATGAGTCGACACATTCAACAAAATTAGTTAGTTAGTTAGTTAGTTAGTTGGGTTATCCTCATTGCACTCCGGACATGTCCATAGGTGCTCAGATCCTCCCCTCAGTATGAACCCCAACGTCCGATGGCTAATAGTACCAGTTCTATGTTGATTAACAAGTCTTCTGGCGTGTCTGGTGTGCGTCTCGTTTTTTGCTGTGCCGATCTTAATTCCCAAGTCTGCCATTCTGGCGAGTAATGTGGATTCACTGCCCCCAAAGTCCTCTATCCTTCACATTTCTCTGAGGGCATTATTAATATCAGCATGATCCATAGGCTGACCGTCGGTAGTGATAGCGGATCCAGCCAACCTGTCAGCTCTTTCATTTCCATCGACGCCTGAGTGTCCCGGAACAAAAATAAAGGTGACTCCACGCACAGTGAACTTCTGTAATGATTCAAGCCATTGTCTTCGCACTAAACCTGCCTGAACCCTCCGGATCATACTCATTGAATCACTGAGTATACACACGAGGGTGTATTTTTGTGTTTCAAGCCAGGCGAGCGCTTGCGTCACTGCCATCACCTCCATCGTCATGCTGCTGGTTGTCATGGAGAAGGCGCTGTTGGCTTCTTTGATTGTTCTGCCCGCTGAGCGTGCTGTAAATGCCCATGCGCTTCTTCTTTGGCGTATAACGGATCCGTCTGTATAGATTATTGCATCTGCTTCGTCTGAATTTTCACCGATGAGAGCGTTGACCTCTGCATTAACAGCAACAGGATTCTCTTCTCTACATCGCCAGTTGAGTGTGACAATACAGGAAAATGTACAAATAAACGCCTGAGGCACAGGTATCCATTCTGCACCAGGAATGATGTCGGTTAGGCTGCATATTTGCCTAATAACATCTTCTGCCCGACCTAGCCACGATTTCCCCCTTTTCAGTCTGTCGCCCTTTTCACTAAAAAGCGCTTGATGCAGTGGGTGTTTCTTATCAGCACATATTTTGAGATATGCCCGAGCCCTCCACATCCTGATCCTTTGGTTCATTGTTGGAAAGTCAAGTAGATACCTCATTGCTCCACAGGAAGTGTCTCTTGTACATCCCAAAATAATGCGCATGGCTTCATTTTGCACCTTTTCGAGTTGTTCAATCTGGGTAGCACTGACAGTTAGGATGGCCAGAACGTATTCAATGGGGGAAAGGACCAGACCGTAGAATAGAAGTATTAGTAGTCTTTGCTCAATATTGGAAGCAGCCATAATCCTCATTGCAGATAGACCTTTGCGTGCTTTTGTTATCACATGGTCAACGTGTTCCCTATTATTCAACAAAATATGAGAATTGAATGGAGGCGGAATATTATTTTTTAATTATTACAACAATTATTGTTATAGTTGCAGTAATGAATCTCAAGTTCAAGGGCTAGAATGCGAAGAAGAACTTATTTCTTTTATCGGTATCTCCCTGGAACAAATGCCCACATGTTGCTGCATAAATTCAGTTAACTCTTAGGATGCAGAAAGACTTAATGGCAATCTTCTGAGTAACGGCACCAAATTATATAGGTAAAAAACCTACCCTTACAGGGCCACATCACGCGAGATTTAGGGAAATCCCATATAATGGGTTAGGATTAGTAATAGTCGCTAGTTATTTAACTCTAACCCTAACCCAACCCCCAATACTGGATTTGGCAGTCCTCCGAATAATGGTCTGCCTGCCATATTTGCCGGAAATAAATCCATCCTAAATTTACATATTACTGAGGAACTGAACTGTAAGGGTAGGTTTCTGACCTGGATAATTTTGGGCCATTATTCGGAGGAGTGCCGACTTAATTAAGTTTTCCCCTTCAGAACGCAGAAAGGATTTCGGCTTTCCTCCGAATAACAGTCCCAAATTGTTGAGGTAGAAAATATACCCTAACAGGGCCTCAGTCACGTGTTAATTGCGCACTTCCAGGGACTATACCGCCACCGCTCATGAGCAAATAAAATGAAGGAAGATGCAGGAGATGCTGTAGCTGCTGCTCGTAAGTCCCAGCCATCCGCATGAGCAGCGTGGGGGGGGGGGGGATACTCTCGGCAGTGGCAGAATTTAAGTCGCCGGAAGTGCGCAATTTAAGTCGCCGGAGGTTCGCAATTGACACGTGACTGAGGCCCTGTTAGGGTATATTTACGGCCTCGATAATATGGGACCGTTATTCGGAGGATAGCAAGGATCTCTTCTAGGATAGTAGTTCTCACCTGTGGGTCGCGACCCCTTTTAGGGGGTCGATTGACCATTTCACAGGGATCGAAAATTATAAGTTAGCAATAAATATAACTGTCTGGTTGGGGGTCGCTACAACATGAGGAACTGTATTAAAGGGTCGCGGAATTAGGAAGGTTGAGAACCACTGCCACTGTTCTAGGACGAACTTGTTTCAGTTTTGCTGTGGTGTTGCCCACTAACACTCCTTCATTGTCACTGCGATGATTGTCAAGTCAGAGTAATTTAAATGATCCAAAGCAACAGACTCACCCATTTCGTCTTATAACGGTATCTACGTGGAACAAACGCACAAGAGTTTGGAAATCCTTTAATTCTGAAAACAGTTAACAAGCCGTAAGGCTTCATTATTTCTATATCTTCCTGAAGGAGATGTTTTTGTAAAGTGCAAAAGTGAAGCATCTGCGCATGTCAGAGCAGGTTACATCCGGCAAGACATTCCGAGTCTGTGGAGATGACATGGTTATGTTTGTTGACATCAGAGTCATAGGGTTTCCTTTTAAACTTTTACTGCAAGGAAAAGTACACGCTAGATAAATCATGCCGGCTTTTTAGAAACACAAATTTAAGAGCTGTTGATAAAGCAGTTACCGCGGTAAGAGCAGAATCGATAAATATAACCCTCTAATTAATGAAGGAGTACTTACTGACTGGGTAGGCTGGCCATGGAGTCCGTAGTTACTGAAACAGATTGGTGACACTACTGACTGTTGAATTACTCATTTACCCTGCAGCACACAATGTGTTGGTTAATTAATTATGCAACATTCTGGCATTAATATGTCTTAAACCTGTTTATGTTAATCACTTAAGGCCTGTGTGTGTGTGTAAATAGTTAATCCAGTCCTGGCATTTCTTCCAGGTTTCTTGTTTTGTTTAGACAAATTGAGAAATTGTTGTAGACTAAAATAAAACTGTACAGCTGCTTCCCTAACTCGCATGCCTCTCACTGACTGTTCGTTACCAGTCTTGATTTCGACTGCACAATACAACATACAGTCTGCCCTTTTGAAGATAAATGCAGGTGATAAAGTTTCTCTTCAGGATTATTAACAAATTGAGTTTCTCTTTCCAGACAGATAAGCTGTGTTGCATTAATTTAATGGAAACTTTTTTTTTTTCTGGACATTATCTCTCAATTGTCTTCTTGGTCTGTCTCAGTCTACCATTCATCTTCCTTGTGTATACAGTTTTTACTTCTCTGCCATCTGAATTTAATTCAATTATAGCAGAAGGCATGGTACCAGGAAGGAGGGGCCGACCGACACGAAGATGGGCACAGGATATAAGTGACTCCTAGAGTATGAAAGTACATGAGGTGGGAGAACTGGTGAGAGGCCTTTGAGTTTTTTTTTTTCAGGTAGACCTTGATGAGAGCGACGTTCTGCAAAGGACCTGCTACATGATGATGATGATGCCCTAACTGCTCTCATGATGCCAGTGATCAGTGGTGATTTAAACTGACTAATTTTGTTGTTGCTTCTCACTCCTCATTCCCCGCTGTTTGTATCTCTATTGGGTCCAAAGATTCGTTGTAAGACTGATTTCGAAAACCTGTAATAAGGCTTCTTTTTGAGTTTTTCTCTGTTTCAGAGCCATAAAAAAAACGACTGGCCTTATCAGCGTTTCATATTTTGATCTTGATATTGCGAGACAGACACTTAGCAGATGTTGATGGGCATAATATACTTAATTTCTAGATTGGGCTATCCTCCAAATAATGGTCCCAAATTATCGAGGCCGAAAATATACCCAAACATAGCCTCAGTCCCATGTAAATTGCGGACCTTTTTCCGTCAACTACACAGCATACCGCGGAACAGCTTCTGCTGAGTTAAAGTCACCGCCGAGAGTATTTCTCACGCCGTTGCGCGCGGAGCGGGGCTAAATTAGATTTCTGGGACTCATGAGCAGCAGCTACTGCATCTCCTGCAGCTTCCTTCATTTTATTTGCTCTTGAGTCTCAGCCATCTATTTGAGCCCTATTCTGCACCATATGTAGCGGCGCGGGAGATACTCGTGGCGCTTTAGTTGCCTCAATAATTTAGGACTATTATTTGGAGGACAGCCCCAGATTGTATTCTAGATTGTATCATAATAATTACTTTTTGTTTCTTTAAATGCAGTAATGTTTATCTCATATTTCTGTTTAACTCCAGTCAGCATAAATGGAAAACAAGAAAAGTAATAAACCATTTTATGCCTTGCCTGAGAAAACACCCACAAGTTCTCAGATTGTCAGCGATGCTCGTTCATCGCTCCGTAAATTGAACACTCGCCGACCCAATACCCCTAGAGATGAGCAAAGGCATTTATTTCCATTTTCCACCAACAGAACCCCAGAGTCAAGGCCACCGAGTTCATTTAGGTAAGAAAGGGGAGGTTATATTTTGTTTCTGCTTTTCTTTCCAGTTCCGTGTAAAGGGTTTTATACAGTAAAAGTAAAGGACCCTGTTCAGGCCAGCATCAGGCATTTGGTGCTAGGGTGACATTTGGATAGACCGTTCGGCCCTCAGTGGGTGATGTGGTCAGCATCATTCCGGCCGCCTTTCCCAGGATATTGTCTCTGTCCATTGTGGGCTCTATCAACATTTTTTTCCTTCAAAATGTGCCTGCTGCTGTTTTAAATCAAAGAACAGAAATTATTCTGATTTTATATCTAGTTAATCAGCAAACAAACTGCAATCAGTAGTTAATTTAGAATGTTTATTTATAAGGTCAGATCACTGTTGCTGTTTGGAATAGAAACATGGAGAGCCACTAAATCAATTTTATTAACTCTTTGAGTCCCAAGAGACGCATCATACCTAGAAGCCCAATGAATGCATGATGCGCCGATTTATTACATGCTTTACTACCTCCTGGGCCTGTGATTCTAAACACCCTGGGACTCAAAGAGTTAACCTGCAAATCATATAGTTTACTTATATGGGAGAAAATGTATGCTGGTGCTAAATACATTGAGAAAATCTGATAATAATACGGCTAGAATTTCCTTTCACTGGAAGCAGGCCAAAGAAATAATAGAAGATGGGAAAAAAATTTCGGGAAAAAAAAAAATTATTGGAGACAGAAATAAATAAGATGGACATGGTGTGAGCTGCACCTGATGGCTAAGAATAAGAATAATCTTAGATTTCTTTGAAAAGGGTCTCAGTTTGCGGAACCCTGGTTTCGATAGTTTTCAGGCTCCTGGAAAAAGACAGGTGTTTTTTTTTTTTAATCAGATCGCAACCATCACCAAAGGGGTTCATGTTGTGTGCTGTAGATTCAAAAACACATTATTAACACATTGAGTTTCTCATTCCACTGAGAGATAAGCTGTGTTGCATTAATTTAATGTAATTTTTACCTGGTGAGTGGACTGTTGCCACAGAACTGGTGGTACCTCATCATCATCATCATCATCAGGTGCCTTGCCGACTGGTGTGGGCAATCATGCCTCTCCACAATATGTGATCTCCTGCAGCATGTATTAGTTTGTGTGCTGACACACCTCCCTGCCATGCAACAAGACTATCAAGAATATTCTTTCATTGTCTTCCTTTATCCCTTCCACAGATCTTTCCAGTGATCACAACATGTTTCATTTTCCCTCTTCTCATAACATGGTCGAAAAATGATGACTGTCTCCTTCTGATGTCTGTGATTAGTTGTTTTCGGGCTCCCGCCTCTTTCAAAACCTCTTGGTTGCTCTTTTTGGCTGTCCAAGGTATTTTAAGCATTCTAGTGGTACCTAGTGTTGTTAATTCTATTGTAACTGCTGCTTCCATTGATGATGAACTGCATTTCTAATATCAGACTGTGGGTTCCGGGGCCCTATTATAGGGAAAACAAGAATAGATCCACTGCCTATCCAAAAGCATGTCATAAGAGTTGACTCATTGGGAGCTTCCTTCAAAGTCAAAGTGCATCTGTCTGAAAGGCAATGAACCAGCAGTCTGCATACAGATAAGTCAGATCTGTAAAACAGATGCACACACAACACTCAGGTTCTGGAACAGGACTGCAGTCCAAAAGTGGATGAACAACCAGAACTTTCCACCAAAGTGTACAGCTGGTGAAAACAAAGAAGAAGAAGAAGACTGTATGTGTTGGTACTTCTGATGGCTGCTTTATGCATTTAATGGGTGTGTATGCTGTTGGATTTGCTGAGACTGCAGTCTGTGTCAGTCTTTCCTCAAGGGACAGTGGTGGACATTCTGTGTGGTTTTCATTGGTAAGAGAATGGAGCGATATGTGGTGACCCGTTTGCTATGATATATGAACTGGAATTCCCTGAGTTGAGTCAAGAGTTGACATCATATTCAGGGCATTCCCATGTTCCAATACTGATGGTACCGGTCACAATCTGGTTATATGTCCGTCTTGCCTTTTCTTTGAGTGTAGTGAGCCGGCCAGACCCTCTAGCTACACCCAGGTGCCTCATTCTCTCCAGGCCATAATAATCTTGTTTCTCCTCTACTGATTCTGTTGCTTGTTCCCAAAGGGCCTTGACCACATCCACCTTTTAATGTATCAATTAAACCACCAAGTAGTACAGATCTAGCCAGTGTGTCTGCCTGTTCATTACTCACTACGCCGGCATAGCCTGGAGAAAAGATCCAGTGTATGCTCACTACCCGGGACTTTCCCAGTGAAGCTTGACACTCTGCTCGAAGCATCCCTGTCTTCACCTTTCTCAGCATGCTTTCAGAGTCTGTTACAATTGCGACATGTGTATGAATCTTATTCTCTAGCCATCAGAGAGCTACAGTTACCGCCTCCACCTCCATTCTCATGTTAGATGTTGTGATGCCGTATGCTAGGCTGTCTTGCACTAAAAGTTTACATGATACTTGTGCACTGTGGCATTAAATATCTTTACTATTTGAAAATTCTAATTTTTAAAAATTTTCTTCTCTCTCTCCATTTCAATACATTTTCATGTGTTGCAAATAGGTTAGACCATTCCTAACATGTCATGTTGTAACAAAATATAGATGACCTCAGGAAAGGCAAGATGGACATTTAATCATATTGTGACCAGTACCATCATTATTGGAACTCTGCGCTGGCTGCTGAGGATGAGGCCAGAGCACGCATAGAAATGCCCCAAATTCTGTGATGTCAATTCTTGACTCAACTCTTTATATGACCTTTCATAATAAGATTTTTTTTTTAGTTTAACTTCCAGACACTTTGATGGAGCCGACTCTAGACCACCGTCTGGAACAAAACTTTCTCCTCTAGAACATGTAAGCATTTTATCGTATTTGCTTTGCTATTTATATTTTGGAATGAATATTTTAGACGTTTTTGTTACTTGTCAATGATGCTCTGCAGAAAGAGACTGGGTCATTTGGAATAAAACCAAGTGCAATGAAGTCGTCACCTAGTATCTGAACACTTTAAGTATAGCGGTGGTAATATGCCTTCACTTACTTCTTAGAATTCAAGTCTACATCCAAGTGAATCATATGGATATACTGTCTGAGAAATGCAGGAGTGCAAGGTAATGAATGAACTTTAGGGGTCGCTAATTGAATGAAAACAGACAATGAAATTCATACTAGAGACCACATTGCAAATTTAATCTATGTCAAGTGAGTGAAAGAAGAAGAATAAATGATAAGATCATCTAGCTAAAAAGACAACAGAGGCAGTAGCACTGATAAAGGATGTGACAGACTTTCTGGAAATGATATGTGAAAGAATGCTGATAAAAGATACAATTTTTGTTCACCAAACATGTGTAAGATTGCGTAAATTTGGAACTAAGTGCAGATCATGCAAGAAAGGGCATGTGAGAGGTAAAGTGTGACATGTAGACAACCAGTTTGCTACTGGAACAGTCAGCTTCGACACCTTTTATAATTTGTTGCAGGTAATGTATCATCTGTGGGTTCAACTGAAATGCTTGTCGATTCTTAAATCAGTAACCAAAAGCCTTTAAATTCCATGTGTGGGAAATTGGGGTCCCATTGGACAGAGGGGAGGAGGAGGAGGGAGGTGATACTCCACCCCCTAAAAAGCATGTTGTAAAAGGCAACTAATGTGAAGTTTGCTGAATTCTGATGTGTTAGGCCAAAAGGCACAGATATCGCTACCCTGCTGTAAACCACAACATGCCAACCACCATTTTAATGTCAAACACTGATAAAGAAAAGAGAATTCAAGTAATCTTCCTCCAATTTGATCTCATTTAGCACCCTAAGCCAGTGAACCCTGCTGACCTGGAAACTGTCTTGGTGCCACGACCTCCGTCCTCTGACCCCACAAAATTGTTACCACATAGGGCAGCATGTGCTCCACCCAAGATTCCTGCTGCACTCAGTCTGTACAGCAGTGATTCCTCTTTGTCTCGATCTGGTCAAGGAGATGGTGAGTTTATTTGTTGCTGTTCAAGAGTCAATCATGCATGAAATTTCTATTGCATAGTTATTTTTTTTTAAAGTCCTCTGTGCATTCTGGGGCCAAATGTTTAGGGGGCATACCCACTGCTCCCTCCCTCTCCAACAAGCATCTTGTAATAGCTGACTAACTAGATGTATTATTTCCTTTGAAGTCGGAGTGCATCTGCCTTAGAAGCAGGTAACCAACTTTCTGCACACAAATAAGCAGATTTGTAAGACCGATGTGCACGCAAAACACAAATTCTGGAACACGGCTAAAGTCCAGAAGGGAATAAACAGCCAGAACTTTCCGTCGGAGTTTATAACTGGTAAGCAAAACAAAAGAAGAAGTAGAAGAAGCTTATTTAACAGATTAAGTGAAGTAATGGACTCTTTTCTTTGCGTAATTGGAACTTTCGGCATATGGTGCTGGGCTACATATTTGTGTGCATTAATCGGCACTCAGTGGGTGATGTGGCCAACCTCATGCTGGCCCCTTTTATTTTCCAGACATTTTTCTTGTGAGAATTTTAGGCTGGGTCGACTTGGAGCCCTAGGTCAGTTATAACAGTCGGTGTCGCAGTGGATTTGAAAGCAGTACCTATGGCACAAATGTGATTCTGCTGTCACTGGATAGGAAACACATAATTAACAAGAATGTCTTTGCAGTGGAACACACAGGACTACGGAAATGAATGGACCCTACACAAAAAAACAAAAAAAAGAAAGACATGATGAAGATTATTATGAGCAGTTGCAAAGGATAAAATAACCCAGCATTACTTTGTTGAGGATCTTTGTGAGTGTTATATTGGAATTCATTTGTGGTTGAATTTTTTCGCAGATGGAACATAAGAGTTTTCCACCCCTCTTGACCTCTGATAGTGCAGCGGATGACTCTCTCATTTGGACTGTTCTTTAAAAAAAAAACAGTTTCTCATGTGCTTGTAAGAAATTCCTTGACAGTTGGAAGTCACACACAAAAACAGCTCACTGCCAGTAACAAAATCTGCTTTTACTGTTTGTGTTTATTACTGTTTTTCTGGGCATCTAGAACCACATCACCCACCGAGTGCCGATTGATCTATAAAATATAGGTCTAGCCCTATGTGCCCAGCAAAGGGTCCTTTAGTTTAATTAGAGTCTCTGGCAATGGTGGAATGTCACAAGCTAGTTTGGTTCAAGCACAGTATGAGACATAATTTGATTGTAGAGACTGAACTTCTAGGAACATTGGGGGTGTGTTTAAGGAGATGGGGGTAAATAAGAACCTGGAATGACAAGGTCAACAAATGCATGGGACTAAATTATTATACAGTTGTTCAACAAGTAGAAGGTAGATAAAGATGGCGATATTTCTATGCCAGTTTGTGCTTTGGTACACCTCCACGACCCTAATAGGTCAAGGGTTATGTTATATTATTAAAGGTTTCTTTGAGCCTGAGGATTCAGTGCTGCGTGACTACTTCACTCGTTACAGATGTGTCTGTTAGGTCTTTATCTTTGCCCCCAGCAGAAAAAGCCTGTAATCTCACAGAGGATCCAAATCTGGGTCTTCTGCATGAATACCCAGTGTTCTTAACCATTCAACCAGCCTACCACCCTGGCAACATTTCATGTTAGAGAATCTACCCACAAGAAAATATTTATAGTATAAATGGATTTTGGTAGACAATGTAAACTTAGACCGTCACTGACGTTACAAAATAAGTACACAGAATTGAAATTCTCAAGCAATCGAACATTCATTCAAACACTGAGTTCAAGCATTCAAACATTCAGTCATACATTGAGTTCAAGCATTCAAACATTCAGTCATACATTGAGTTCAAGCATTCAAACATTCAGTCATACATTGAGTTCAAGCATTCAAACATTCAGTCATACATTGAGTTCAAGCAATTAAACGTTCAGTCATACATTGTGTTCAAGCAATCCGTTGTACACCTTCACTTTAGGGCTTCAATGGCTTAGGTGATGTGGATGCACTTCATAACTCTGAGGTGCTGGGTTCAATCTCAGCTGTCTGCAGTTTGGCTGCAGACCATCTTGAGTTGGTTTTAGTAGTGGTACGTAGAGCCAACCATTGAGAAAGCAATGGCAAATTACTGAACATAAAATTACCTAATAGAATCTCAAACAGCTCAAAAATGCTAGAGTTGATTCTGCACAGGATGTGCAGCTAACTTTAAAAATCTGCTCCCATGTCTTGGCGCATGTAGAGCAGCTGTTGCTAGATGCATATTTTATAGACCAATACAATTTCAACTGCCTTTACTTCCCAAAACATTTCCTTATTACCCATTTCTAGACAGGTCACTTTAGGACCAGGGTCTGTTATAAAGATCAACCTCTTATCAGTATGTATTCTACACATATTTCTTCTTCTTCTTAGCATTCGCCGGCTGTTAACTGGTGGAAAGTTCTGGTTGTTCATCCATTTCTGGATGTTAGTTCCATGCCTTTTAGGCTTATGCATTCTGACTTCAAAGGAAATGTCTCTAATTAGTCAACTTTTACAACATGCTTGTTAGGGGAGCCAGTGGGTCTGTCCTAAAATGGGGTCCCGGAAACTAACAAGGACTATAAATATTTTAAAGTGATGATAGGAATAAATATCTGTACGAGTTGACCATGTGGATGGGTTGGAACAGATGAGCACAGACCTGATGTGTGATTCTGGTATAATCATATTACTTGTGCCTGTTGTCATGTCATGTAATGTGTGTGAACTGATTGTAATTTTTTTTTTTTTTTAATAGACTGTAGTTTGCTGGAGTCATCATTTGCGAAGACGTCTGCTGAGATCTGCAGTTCTGATTCAGGGATAGAATCAGTAGGCAGAGCCACCCATGTAGTGTCACATGGATCAAATGTTGGGAGTGATAGCAGATCAAGCAGTGCTGGCAGTAGAAAATCTAGTGCTGGAAAGTCTAGAACCACTGGTAGACTTTTGCTTCTTTAGTTTTGTCTCTGTTGTTGTAATGTAGGCATGAATGGATAGCAAACATATCTACTGTTCTCTTACAGGGACTTAACATGGGTTTTTTTGTAGCCTGTTTACTTGTGAGCTGGTGAAATACCTTATGTGATAATTCTACATGTGTGTGGCCAACTTTTTGTGCCTGACTACTTCCATCAATGACAAACTGCATTTCTGGTGTCAACTGATGGCTTTGGCGCTTGAAATTTGCATTTACTGCGTGCACATTGTTTCTGGATTGTTCCGGGACTAATTCTTTGTTCATCAGTTTTCCAAATGCGACAGTGAGGGACATTTCATTTGATTTTCACTGGCACAGGAACGGAGCAAGTATGTGGAAACCTGATTGCAGTGAAGTTGAAAGCTCGTCTAAGACTATGACATGGGTTTCTTTCTTCTTCTGGGTTTTGGTGGAGTGCAAGGTAATGAGCGAGTAGATCTGTTGATTTCAAGAGCACTAGACCCCTGTGTGGGTTCCGGGGCCCCATTGTGGGGAAAACAAGAATAGACCCACTGCCTCCCCAAAAGCATGTTGTAAGAGTCAACTAATTGGGGAGCTTCCTTTAAAGATGGAGTGCGGCTGCCTGAGAGGCAAGGAACCAACAGTCTGTATTCAAGAGAATGAGATCTGTAAAACTGATGCACACGCAACACTCAGGTTCTGGAGCAGGACTGCAGTTCAGTAGTAGACGAGCAACCAGAACCTTCTGCCAGAGTTTACAGCTGGTGAACGCGAAGAAGAAGAGCACTAGAGATCAAAACACTCATGGGATGTAGATGTGCTGAACCATTTGTGATGAAGCACTGGGACCAAGTCTCATACAGGTCAAGACCTCTCTAGGTCTTGCTGTCGTGCTAGAAACAGGTTTTCAGTTGGCAGCCTGGCCAGCAGATAGGGTTGAAGTTGGAGTGGATCTGTCTGAGAGGCATGGAATCAGTTGTCAACACACAAATAAGATCTGTTTCCCCATTCTCTTAGTGTCCATGCTATTGTCAGAGTGTCAACACTTGTACCCATTTCCTAGAGGCTGGGTGAACCCCGGAAACCGCCCAGTTTTGAATACCGACCATGGGCTGCAGCGAGTCTGCAGCTGGATTTGAAAGCGAGCCTCTTATCGACTGCACTAACGCGACCCCCTTCGCTATTAGTATTGTCACGGATTTTGTAAATGATTTCACTACTTTTTATTTTTTAAATGCTGCTAATGCTATCAATGTTGCTGTTTTTCATACTCTGTTAGTGTTATCCCTTTTCCCCTCAAATATATGAATACTAAAAATATTATTTTTTTCTTTACATTTTGAATTTGTTCTTACAACTATTCGTATAACATGACTGGTATGGTGTAGTGTTACTATTCTCTGCTTCCTGTAAAGGCCCCAGTAACGTGCAGGTGTTGTGACTTTTCCGTGGTTGGTTTTTTTTGTGTGGCTTTTGTTTTTTACAGGATGAGGTAGCCAACCCCAAACCTACCCCAAACCTACCCTTACTTGCAGATCAAAAACAGATAGAAAAGGGAGCTAGAGAGTGAAGTTAAAACATAAAATAGGGAAGAATAGGACGACAGCATAAATTGGTTGAGGACGAATGTTTCATGGGTTGTAGAAGGCAAAACAAGAAGACTATTATTTTTTTCTGTTTTAGTTGTTTTTGCTGTATTTGTTGTGTTAAACTGCCTTTTTTCTTTATTTTAATGTTATCTTTACAGTTGTTTCTTTCTGTTACATTAGTGTGTCTCTACTATTGTGTTCCTTTATGTTGGGTTAGTTTCTTGTTTTTTATGATTATTTTTCTCTTTCTGTTATGTTACCGTTTTCTCCTTTCAGATGGATCAGAAAAATTGGATGACTTTTATGCTCTTGAAATTGATCCCTTAGTTACAGAATTGGCATCTGTTACAAAAAGTGAGTATTGTCTCCCCACTTAAATGTTTGAATGTTTATGCATGTATATGCTTTCTTATATGTGTGAATGTTTATGCCTCTCTCTCTCTTGGTCTTCTTTGGCTCTCTTTCCCTCCAGCTTTCCTGTGGTAACAGTGTACTCCAGTGTTTTCCCTGGAATTACTGACATACTAAAAATCATGTTAATTAAAGAGTCACAAATTAGATAGGTTGGCCATCTTACGAGAACACGTTCTTGTACCAACTGCCACAGAAAGCCACGCTGAAGAAGTATGCACACAGAGCATCGCAGAGAGAAGTTATTGTTTTGTATTTTATTATTTCTTTCTAAAGTCCAATAGTCCCATGATCTTTATATCATGTTGTTTCATAAAATTCACAAAGTCCATAGATGTTTAGTGGGGCCATTTTGAATGTCAAGCCAGATCTTATACCCTGAGTGTTACTACTACAAGTTTATGGTTATCTCGTCTTCTTATCTTGAGTATGAATTTGAACAACTAAATCCTTTAATTGCTTGCTAGAGGGATGAGGGGTATACTAAAGTTGGGATCCGATGTGCAGTGAAAATAATCTGTCAATTAACTAACTTATGCAGTGATTCCCAAACTGTGTGCCGCGGCGCCCCAGGGAGCCGTGGCCTCTTCACAGGGGCGCCGCGAAATATTCGAAGATACGCGAGTTATATTTTTTGAGATCTCTTACATACAAATAGTCATACTTTTACTTAGGGCGCCGTGGACAAATTGTAATTGAAAAAATTTGCCACGATTAAGAAAAGTTTGGGAAACACTGAACTAATGGCTTGCTGGGCCTCTCCTAGAATCATCTCTAACTGCACAATTTATCGAACAGTAACACTTCTTTTCCATTTTTGAAAACACAAAGGAAAGCACTTGTCTTGTTTATTGCAACTAAATTTTTGCCTCCCCCCCCTCCCCAACTTCTCAGAGAAAGACTGTGATCACATCCAGGAAGTGGCGGAGAAGTTGTACACCACTCTAGAGCGTCATGGCTGCTTCACAAAACAGTTTCATCATCGGTCTCAGATTCTGAAAGTTATATTTAAGCTACTGGATGTTGATGAACCGAGAGTGTTGCTGAAACTGTCCAGACTTATTCTTGCAGTAAGTTATATGTGTAGTGTGTCTGATCAATTTGTACATGCAGGATGTCTCGGCGGTGAAGTGGTCAAACCATTTATCTCGTGCTTTGAAAATCTTAGGTTTGTTTCACAGCTGCGTTGTATGGTTTTTGAGCGCAGTTTTACAGAGACCCTTGGGGATTGTCGCCACTTACGCTGTTCATGCTTTGTCCGACACTGTCAGCAGTCGGCTAGCCATTCTGCCGAAAAAGGTAAGCCATATGGGTAAAACCCAGTGCAATGAAGTCGATCCCTCTGAGTTAAAAAAAAAGAAATTTACATGCATATTTCTGTGTGGTTTTATTTTCTTCTGTGTTTGCCCTTAAAAGTGTAGTTGGCATGTTGTATTGTGGTTTACAGCTGGGCTACGATATGTGCACCTTTTGGCTAAACACATTTGGTTCCAGCAAACCCCTAATTAAACAGAACCTTATATCTCCCTCGACACCCACAGCGGTAAAAGAGGAAGTGAAGAAGAAGAAGAAGAAACCCCTAATTAGTTGTCTTTTACATCTTACATGGAGGAAAGTGAGCAGTGTCATGTCAAGGAGGCAAAGAACTCGGGTGTATTGTCATCCCCAGGGCAGGGTGGCTTCTGAGGAAGTAATCTTAGCTGCGATCAAGATGGGACGTGTGCAATCAGCATTCTCCCAGGTGACCTGGTCTTGAATGGGTACCAGATAATATCTTGGGAAGTAAAGGCAGCCGTCAAGATGTTGGTCACCTCAACCACCAAGTGCTGAATGTTCTATAAAAAATCAGTATGAGACAAGCATTGCATGTCTGATGTGCCACTGACGTAAAGGGGATCTCTTGTACAATTTGTATTAATGTTATATATTTTATTCCCTGTGTGGGTTCAGGGGCCCCATTTGGGGGGGGGGGGGAATAGACCCACTGCTCTCAACAAGCAAGTCATATATTGGATGTGTTTCCTTCGAAGTTGGAGTGCATCTACCTGAGAAATGAGGAACCAACAGTCTGCTTTGCTTCGCTGAGGTCAGCCCCTGCTTCATTTTCCCCAAACTGCACCAAATTATGAGTCAAGCATTATGACCGGCACACCACTGGCATAAAACAAAAGTATTTTTGACTGACTAACTTTAAATATTTTACAATGACAACTGTTGGTGTAGTTTTGTGGGATGACATTGTGTTTTACATGTATTCCCCAGTTTAAAGTGAGCAGCAACAATTTGCTAAATATCTGCAAACTTGTTTTCAAAGTCAGTCGCAATGATGCAAATGATCTGTATTTTCTTGAGGACAATATTCTAAGTAAGATTATGTTTGTTGGTTAGTCCATAATGATTTTTAATAAATCAGCAGAAAATGTGTATTAGTTTGGTATTTTAGTATGTTTGGGTATGAATGATTGCACTTGTATCTTTTTTGTGTTTCTGTATGTGTGGATGCAAAATTTCTTCTTCTTCTTTGCATTCGGTTTCGAATGCTCAGATCAGACCATCAGGTGGGTTGCCTCTATGAACTCGCAATAGCAGGTCCTTCATGATTTCCCATAGTTTGCTCTGCACACTTTACTCTTGAGGCCAGGTGTCTTTTTGAAGTTGTAGATAGAGTGGGCAGGTCTGCAGAATGTGCTGAGGTGTTTGTGGTCCTGTTTGACAGGCACACTGTGTTGACTGTACAATCTTTATTTTATGCATATGGTAGTTGAGCCTGCAGTGTCCTGTTCGTAGACGGAAAATTGTATGTTGCTTTCTGTTGAGTCTGCTGATGGGGTCTTGTGGATGTTTACAAATAGCTTTTAACAATGGTCCAACTTGTCAAAGATTGCATAAGCAGTGTATGGATAATAAGAACTAAACATCATAAGATTTAAGAAGGTTTAGAGAGAGTGAATGAAAGAGAACAAGTTACAGACAAAAGGGAAACACACTGTGTATGTTGACGATAAAATCAGTATGGAAGTTGAAGACAGAAAGAGAGGATTCTGTTTGTGTTGATAAAAATAGTGTGGGGGCTAGAGACAGAGGGAGAACATGCTATCTGATATGATAATAAGATAAACATGAGAGATGCAAAGTGAAAAGGTAGTGTCTTGTTTTATAAAATGGCATGGAAAGCTGTGAGCAATTGTCCATATAAAAATTATCAAAACCATATAATTTTAAGCGGCGTCCGTGGCTTAGGCGTTGCGAGTCCCACTCGTAACCCAGTGTACCACGATCGAAATCCACTGCTGGCTGCGTGGATTTTTATCATGGTACGGGGCGTCGCAGGTCGGTCAAGCCTAAAATGGGTACCAGGCTGGGCTGTCCTGGGAAAGTAAAGACAGCCGGCGTAATGCTGACCACATTACCCACCGAGTGCTGATGGTCTGTAAAAATATTGGCGCTCTTCCCATATGCCCGATATGCCTAAAGGCGTGGAAAGGGATCTTTACTTTTTTTTAAAAATATAATTTTAAAATGAAATCTATGTATATTATATTACTTTATTGTTACCTGCTCAAAAACTTGTTTATAGAAGAATAAAATGTTTCCCTTTACTTTCCACGATTGTTGTTTTTTCAAACTGATATAAATTTTGAAGATCAATACACAATGTTTTTGCCAGATTTGCTCCTGGAGACAGTCCACAGTACAGACCATGTTACATCATGTGAAGCCCTCATCTACTGCATTGGAACCATCAAATTCCTATCTGGCAATAGCGACATATTAAAACGTTTGGCCAAATTGGATTGTGTGAAAACTTTGGCAGCTCTCATTCATGCAATTAACAAAACAGTAAGTTTTCGAGATGCTTTTGACCTCCTCATTGTCACTATCATCAACAAACAGAAAGTTGGCATGCCAGTCTCCTATCAACAGAAGAAGCAAATAATCAAATCAATCAGAAAGCGACCAAAAACCAGAACAAGACGATTACCGTATTCAAGACGGACCAGAGCAAGTCATTATTCTACACCTTAGAATGGCACAATCAACTTCACAGCCACATGTACACAACATTTAAGGTTGGTGAATCTGGTGTGTGCACGTGTGAACTGGCACCTGAGACAACAGATCACATCATCCAAATACAACATATTAGGGCAAAACTTCTGGCCAAGAGGAACACCCGGTAAAAGCCAAACTACAGGTCACTGATTAAATTACAAAAGACAACAAAGTAATACTAGAGACAGCATTGCATAAATAAATGATCTGATGATCTGTTTCAAGGGAATGAAAAAAGAATAAGAAAACTTCTTCAGGGTCTGGTCCTTTCTGTTTTTGAATACGTGATGGCGATCATGACTCTCAGCCATAAGCAGATGGAAAGGATACAGAACGAGGCTATGCGCATTATAATTGGGTGTACAAGAGATACAGCTTGCGGGGGGATGCACTACCTTCTCAATTTTCCAACCATTGAAGACAGAATACAAATTTCCCGAGCGTGTGCCTACCTCACAGTCAAGGCGTAGACACAACATCCAAAGCATAGAGAGTTGTAAAGGAAGATTCTGGAGCTTTTGCCGTAACTACAAGTAGTCTGACTATGGAGGTCATGGCTATGACTAAAGCAGTAACATGGATAGAGACACAGGCTTCACTAGGACATGCTTTCTCAGTGACTTGATATGCTCAGGAAGATAGAGAAGGGCTGGGTCCGAAGGCAGTAGTTGGTGGCTCTACAGAATTCACGGCTGACAAGGATTCGTTTTATTTTCGTGCCAGGACATGTGGGGGTACAAGGAAACGAGCCAGCTGATAGGCTTGCAAGTAAGGCTACTGTGAAAGCCGGACAAGCCATGCACCAGGCTGATATACTGAATGCTCTAAGAGAGTTCAGACGTTTGCGTGAACCAACTGAGAACTGTGAACCAACTGAGAACTGTGAATCTGCAACCATGGTCAGACTGCAAGAGCAACATATTAAACTTGGTGCAGCAAAAAAAGAACACTACGCAGATAGCCAAAGAAGAATAGTAAACCAACACAGAACTACACGCAGGATTTACTGAGGAGGGGATCCGAGCAGTTATGAACTGAGTGGTTCGAATTGCAATGAGGATAATGTCGACTAACTAGCTAACTAAACATGTTGACTTAGGATGATGTTCGATAGATTTTGCGGCACCGAGCACACTGTGCTCGCAGTGATTCGATTCTGGTCTTCAATTATCTGAGAGGACAGAACCTCTTCAGCAGGAAACTACAAGCTGTCTAGAGAGAAAACTTGATAATAATTTCTTCCAGAAACAGAATGTGTTTTGTTGTTGTTGAGGAATCAACCTATTCTGTTAACTTAGTAACTCTGGCCATTTTACTTACCACCCAATGCTGCAGTTTTTTTTGCTAAAGTGATCTTCAAGTGTTAAGATATTTCTGTATGGCCACACACATTGTAAAATGATTTTTTTTTCTTGTGACATTGAGAATTGCTGTGGCAGAGCGAATAGACGCACGCCACAGAGTGGAAGGTTGTGGGTTTGTTCTCTGGCGGAGCCAGACTTTTTTCAAAAATGACCTTGGCTCTCAGGTCGACCCGCCCATGAGTGGGTACCTGATGCAGTCCTGGGAAGTAAAGGTGGCCAGTGTAATGCTGACCACATCACCCATCTTGTACAGATTGGTCCATTAAATATAGGTCTAGCCCTGTATGCCCTATACGCCTAAAGGCGTGGAAAAGGGTCATTAACTTTTTTAACTTTTTTTTTTACATTGAAATTTGAAATACATATAAGTTATTATGAAAATATGTCTGCTAACATCTATTTTAACTATTCTCTTAGAATCAAGATAATGGCAGACCGGTTGATCAGTATGGGAATATTCTTGTACAGGTAAGAAATGGTATTTCTGATACCATCGCCGTTTCCATGTAGGTTTCTTTTCCCATATTTTGTTAAATAGTTCTAGCACTTGTTGGATAGTCTCATCTGCGGCTCCATCTGTTCTGAGGCTCCATTTGAGGGGGAAAGAAAGATAAGATTTACTGTGCCTTAACAATATTGTCGTTAACGATAATTAATTAATAAGTTTGATGAAAATGGATGTGTTGGATGGAAGGGTGCCGATATTGCAGCCTAGCCATGAACCACAGTACAGTGTGTGGACCGCCATTTTATGGATGAATGCAAAAGAAGAAGAATGGGATATCACCAGCGTGTTAGGAATTATTTAAAGACTAAAGAAATATTGTTCTACAGGGGAAAGCTGAGATCTTCTGCTGTGTTTGCCCTTAAAGTGGCAGTTGTGTTATGGCTGCAGTATCAGTACCTTTTGGTCCAGCAGGTCCCATTTCTGCAGACCCCTTTTGAGATATGCTTTTTTAGGGCGAGGAGTTGGGATAGAGGGTCTATTCTTTTTCCCTACCCAAAATCTAATCCTGCAACCCATGTAAAGAGAGCTGAAACCTTACTAAAAAAGAAATAGTTTTTTCAAATGTTGATGCCCTGAATGAAAAATGCAAGCTGGTAACTTTCATTAGAAACAGTCTGCATAAACAGTTTTGAGAAGGGGTAAAGCTGATTACATTGTGACAGCAGTAAAGTTAGAAGGCAAGAGAGACAAGGGTACAAGTAAGAGACACATTGATGTCCTGACATAAAAGTAAAGAATTTTAGTTTATGAGTTAGACATCTGTGTTCGATAGTCAGTAATTGAGCTTTCAGTTTCACTGCAAATGGGCCACCCCATAATTGCTTCATTCCCTTATATATCATGCAAAATGTCTTTTACACAATCGCAGTTAAAAAAACTAGTGACAATTAGCCCTGGAACTGAAATAACAATAAGTTAATTATTCGTAACAAGAATTTAAAGTTTTTGTTTCTGAGATTTAGCTTTCTAAACAAAATACAAAGCTTGTTTATTTGCATTTAATTGAAGAAATTAAAAACTATTTGGTCATCAGTTAAATTTATCTTTCAGTTAACTGCAACTTTGAGAAATCTGGCAGACACCACTTCTGGCCGTGACAGGTTTCTGACCTACAATGTGATCAGTGGACTGGTTCAGTTAATGAATTCGTACCCTGGAGACAGCGACCTGATGCTGTATATTTCCAGAATTTTCAGGTTATTATTATTTTTAATTGCTTTTAAAATTATGTGTTTTATATTGGCCACTTAAGTATTTGCTGCTTGAGGGTTAGGGGGGGGGGGGGGGGGTTTACAAATTTTTTTTTTTTTGGGCATTGTAGCTATTCTACGTTACAATTATGTTTGGCGTCATGGCATTTAAAGACACCTATATCAGAAATGACTATAGTACCTTGACATATAGGCTGTGAGCAAACGCAAAAGACCAGTGCCACAGTGTAGGCACTTTAACTCTTTCAGTCCCAAGGGGTTTAGCTACGGATGCCCACAGGGTAGTAAAGAGAAGCATAAAATCAGTGTATCTTGTGTTTATTGGGCATTTAGGTAGGAACCTATGAATGTCATCCTTGTGACCTTCAGTGAGGGTCAGCTGCAGTGTTTATATGCACCCACTGCCATCTTGAAAGCCATGAGAACATAAACTTAAACGTTTTCACACCGTGAATACTAAAATAAAAGTGGATCATGAATTTCCGAAATAATCCTTTAAAAAAGAAAACTATTTCACACTGGTAACTAATAAATTTAAAAAAAAAACTTTTTTTTTGGGACATTTAAAAGTTTGTATTTTGAAATATATATCAAAATATATAAAGAGAGTAATCAGAGAGTACCAGAAGAGTCCTGCTGTGACCTGTCATGAGGTTTAGGAAAAATTTGGAGTCAACCTGGCTTTTAAAATGTTATTGGGTTCACAAGGAAACCGCTCAAAATGCTGTATTAGTTCATATCTTCACATCCAGATCTCCTAAACACTATGCAGACATACATAGAACCAGTGGCATTTAAATACGCTTTTCAAAAGCAGGTTACTGCAGAAATAGCGACATATCAGCATTTACAGGGATGTGTCACATCCGGAAGTGACTAGATTTATCCCTCTCATGGCAATAAGGTTCAGAAGACTTGACATTATTCCTTCAGTTATGTTTTAGTACTAGATTTGTTTCAGCATTGACTGCGTGTGCATAGTTCTGGTTACTGCGAGGGCTAATTGTTCGTTCACTAGTTTTCAGATGGGACATTTTGTGTGAGTTTTCACCGGCACAGGAAAGGAGCAATCATACGGTGAAGTCTGTAGCTGGACTACCAGCTACAGCCAGCAGGTCGTGATTCAGTACGACTGAATACGGGCTGGCTAAGATTAGGTGTATAGTTATTGGCCCACCACCAGGTTTATGTTCATTCAGCGGATCAACATCATAGCACACGTGTGTAACCCATAAGTGTTCCATTCTACTTCTAATTCATGCATGAGTCTGAAGAATCTCAGGGCAGTGCATGAACTCTGTCGCACCGGCGAGGATCCTCAAATACTTTGAGTAGATTTTAAACTCCAAATTTTCTTCCCGGGCCATGCCGTTAGGCTACTGTTGTTTTAATTTCCAACTGCCAAGGGTTTTTCATGTGCGAATCAATGCACAGGGGTGTCCGGTCCTACTACCCAGAGACCAGGGAAATTACAAAAAGTCCACGTGAAAAAATCCCATCCGTCACCGGGGTTTGAACCCGGGATCTCCAGCACTCAGGATGGACGCCATACCATCGAGACCACTCAGCTCCCTGGCTAAGGTTAGGTCTGAGTTAACCTATTATTGTCAGTAACTCACATGGTTAATCGACTTTTCTTATTTTGTTTTCAGTTTGGTTAATTACGCTGGCTAAATATTTTCCACTTCACCTTACCTTATTCCTTTCAGTAAAATTATCCTACCTGAATTTCTTTCTTCATTCTTAAATGATTAAATCTAACTATTCTGACTTTAATCTCTTCAACAAAATTATCTACCTTTTTTTTTTTTTTTATTGTATCTCTGGTTTTTACCTTATTTTTTTCAGTACAGTTACTTAATAAGATTAATTCTGCATCCATTTTTTTTTTTAGCAAAATATCGTTCAGGGCTTTTCTTTTCTGATATTTTCTAATTATTTTCAGTGAAATGGTTTCAGTAAAAATGATTGAATCTTTTGTAACTGTTTTTTCCCCTTATTAATTTCAGTAAAATAACTCTTCATGCTGATTGTTGTTCGGTATTAGCCAACCAGCCTGCATGCTACAGAGCATTTGTAAACCTGCTGAAGAAGCATTTATTTAAAGATGTGAGTATTTGTTGTGAAGAGTCACTTCTGGTACTCCCAGCTACACCCCAGTGAGGTGCTTGTTCTGTCTCCCACTTCTGGTACTCCCAGCTACACCCCAGTGAGGTGCTTATTCTGTCTCCCACTTCTGGTACTCCCAGTTACACCCCAGTGAGGTGCTTGTTCTGTCTCCCACTTCTGGTACTCCCAGCTACACCCCAGTGAGGTGCTTGTTCTGTCTGCCACTTCTGGTACTCCCAGCTACACCCCAGTGAGGGGCTTTTTCTGCCTCCCACTTCTGGTACTCCCAGCTACACCCCAGTGAGGTGCTTCTTCTGTCTCCCACTTCTGGTACTTCCAGCTACACCCCAGTGAGGTGCTTTTTCTGCCTCCCACTTCTGGTACTCCCAGCTACACCCCAGTGAGGTGCTTCTTCTGTCTCCCACTTCTGGTACTTCCAGCTACACCCCAGTGAGGTGCTTGTTCTGTCTCCCACTTCTGGTACTCCCAGCTACACCCCAGTGAGGTGCTTTTTCTGTCTCCCACTTCTGGTACTCCCAGCTACACCCCAGTCTGCTATATGTTTAGACGTGAACTGTAGTATAAATGAATACAATAAGATAAGTTTGGAGGCAGTAGAGATGTGTTTTTTCGGATGAGTATTACGAATGTACAACAGTTGTATACATATCGAACCATAATACTGTGTCTAGAGTACAGGAATACAGAACTGGGGTTGGTTCTGCAACGTCCTGAAGTGGATACCCAACTTAATTTTTTTAAATTCTTTTGACTCTGTGGGTTCCAGTGCAAAGACACTAGTTTAATGCTGTCACATGTTTTCTCACTGAGTGTCTTATCCAAAATCAGCAATTTTCTTCACCTCTTGATTCACTGAAATTTGTTTAGTTCAGTCATACCATTGAATTTCCTTTATTCTATGCAGACACCATTTAATGAATGTTCGTAAAAAAGACTATCCCCCACCCCCCCAAAAAAAACCATCACAACTGCCTGTTAACCAAATTTTTTGGGCAATGTAGACAGGGGGGTTGTTGGCCTGTGGATTTAGCGCCACATAGCTAGTACTGTGGCCATTGACTGTGTAGGTTAGGATGTTTATTTTCCCCCTTGCATGAGAGCCGGACGTTTTTACCACTTGGCCAGTAGTTTATTAATAATTATTGTAGCTACTCTCCATGTTACAGTTTTATGCAGCATCACTGGTTTGATCTTAGAGCTAAATATTAAGATTTGTCTTAATTTTTTTTTCAGGATTTGATTGTCCGTTTGTGTTTTGTCCTGGGAAATCTCACCATCAAGAATGACAGTGCTCGATTGAAGCTGTTCCAAGAACCTGACTGTGTGGAGACCTTACTTCTCATCCTCAGAACATACCTAGAGCTTGATCAGCAGGTTTGCAGATTTGTATTCAATAAAATAGTCAAAAGTAAAAGAACCCTTTTCACCCCTTAGGTACATCAGGCATTTTTTTTCCTAGACCTGTTTTTTTAATAAAGCTTCTTCTTCTTCTTCTTTCATTCACTTGAAATAAATTATCTATATCTGCAGTGTTGTCTCTATTATGAACTTCACTGTCTTTTGTAATTCACTCAGTGACCCAGACAGGCTGGATGTTGTGAGGGCCCTTAGGGAGCGAGTAAACAGTGCCGAGGAACAGACAGATCATTACGGTCTGAGGAGAATGGCACTGCGAGGAATTTCAAGGGGATCTGGCCAACGCTCGACACTCAGGGGAAAGGCGAGACATGTATACAATCAGTCATTTACTGGTACTATCAGAATTTTAACTCTTTGCTTGGTGCTGAAGATGGGGACCGAGCACTTATGAGGTCTCACGAGTTATCGTCCCTAAGTCGATCTTTCCTCATTACACCTAGCATAGTACGTAAACATTTCATTTCTGTCGTCACAATGGCTAATAATAATATTGTTTATTTATTTTTATAAAATGGCCTTGAAAATGTAAAGACCCAACACTTAACCTCTGAGTGGCAGTATAAACTGTGCGACAACATTCATCATTTTTAAAATACCCCAAATTTCAGCATACAAGTTGACCTGGCATACAAATCGACCTCAAGATTTTAACTCAAAATTCTGAGTCAGATTTATATCTGACTAACTCAGCTAACAACATGGAGACGAACGATGGAAAGTGACCTGAGTGCGGCATCTTTGACATGGAAAACTGCACTGAAGATTGCACAGGACAGGAAAGCATGGAAAGTCCTCTCTGAAGCCTCATGTGCCACTAGGCATAACAAGAACTGATGATGATGAACTCAGCTTATAAAAGTGAAGGTGCCTTTACACAATAGTGGCACATCGGGCGTGTCAGGCTAGACTCATATTTTTATAGACCGCTGGGCCCTCAACTGGTGATGTGGCCAGCATCATGCCACCTGCCTTTACTTTTCAGGACTTTACCTGGTACCCTGTTAAGGATGGGTCGTCTTGGGAGCCAAGGTTATATTTAAAGAAGAAAAATTCAAGCACCATGTGGATTTGTTAACAAGGCAGCTCCTGGGACATATTTTATACTTGCCATATAATTCAACCCTAGTTTCAGAATGACCTTTTTAGGTTTGAAAATCCTACTTATATGCTGCAGTTTACAGTAATTAACTCTATCTTGTCTGTTGTGCTTAGTCTTAGTCGAGGTTTCAACATGACTGCAGTCGGGTTTCCCCATACTTGCTCCGTTCCTGTGCCAGTGAAAAATCAAGTAATATGTCCCTCACTGTCGCATTTGAAAAACTGGTGAACAGTTAGTCCCGACACAATCCAGAAATATGTACATGCAGTAAATGTATATGACAGTTGCTAGAGGCCCCAATGCCAGCAGTCGCCACCAGAAATGCAGTTTGTCATTGATGGAAGTAGTCGGATACAATAAGTTTGGCTATACACACGTATAATTATTACAGGGAATAACCACATCAGTACGAGGCACCGAAGAAGTCACTAACTCTGAAGAAAAGGATAAAGAGCTAGAACCAAACAAAGTTGAAGATGTCTTAATCAAGGTGACTGTTGTGCATGTTTTAAATGTCTTCAATGTTATCATTTCAAAATGTTTCCCCATGTGGGTTACGGCACCCCGATTGTGGGGAAAACAAGAATAAACCCACAACATCGCAAACAAGCATGTAGTATGAGTTGACTAATTGGGAGCTTCCTTTGAAGTCAGAATGCATCTACCTGAGCAGCAAGGAACAACCAGCTGCACACAGATAAGCCAGTAAAATGGATGAACACACAAAATTCAGGCCCTGACACAAAGCCAAAGTCCAAATGGACGAACAACCAGGACTTTCCACAGGGGCTCACAGACGGTGAACAAAGAAGAAGATTTCAACATTTTCATTTTTTTTCCCCTCGTTTGTATGCCTTTTCTCTCTCTCTCTTTCTCTGCAGTTAATATCTTTATTAGTGAGTGTCTGGCATCATGTCAGCATTGTGAACGAGCTTCTTAATGCCGGGGTGCTGGGTTTGATCCCAACTGTGGGCCTTGCGTTGGTTTCGACAGTGGTATTGAGAGGCTGACCGCCCAGAAAGCAATGGCAAACTACTGGATGTAAATTTGCCTAGAAAAACCACAACAGCCAAAAAATGCTGAGGTTGGTTCTGCGACGTCCTGTAAAGGATACACAATTAACTGGCATCATGAGGGCTAATAAATTATAAGGGTTAGGGCCAGATAACAAAGAGACAAGAACTGAGTACACGTAAGAGTGGAATAGGAGTAGATGTTAAGATAAACCAGAAGAATGTGGAAAGATAAAATACAAATAGACCTACAAACACTTGGAAATAAGTCTTCCATTGATACATTTATCTGATATCTGCTTTTTTTTAAAAAACTAAATCACTTATAATGTGTCTGTATAGCTTCTTCATCTTTTCAGGATGATTTCCATAGAACTCTCATTTAAAAAAAAAATAAGATAAGGGAAGAGTACAGAGTATGATGGAGCAAACTGGAGAACAGAGTGGGTGTACAAGAATCTTTGTAGTCAAATCCTTGGCTGCTAGATACACAAGCCATGCATTTTAGACAATTTTATCTTGGAACAAAAGAAGATTCTGAATGCATGCTAGTCTTTTTCTGCATTTGTCCTGATAAGAGTTATTGGTACGTTGTTAAAGTTTAAAGTTGAAAGGATCGACTTTCTGGCACCGTATTTTTATCCCATATGGCTCCGTTGGTTTGTTAGTAAAATTCTATTAACTGTCCTTTAACTCAGTATCCTTTATTTTACTAGCATTCTCTGATAAATATGGAAGGTTGCAACATAGTAGGCATATGTTCATTGCAGATATGAGGAGCTTTAGGTATGCCTGGAAGCTGTAGTAGCGTAGTGGCCAGACGCTCGCCCGCTGGCCTGAAGGTTTTGGGTTGAACTCTGCAATTGAGCGCTGGTTTTTTTGTTGTTGTTTTTTTTTTTGGGTTGTTTTAGGCTTTTCAGGTTGGCATTAAATGAATGAATCGAGAATTGACATCACTGCACTCGGGTCGGGACATTCCCACACGTGCTCCATCCGCTTCTTCAGTAGCCAATGAATAGTCGACATGCTAATAGTACCAGTTGCAAATTGATTAAACGTCTTTTTGTGTTTCTGCCTATGATTGGATATTTTTCAGAACCTCTACTCACACCCTCCCCCCCCCCCCCCCCCCTAATTAGTCTTTCATTATAAGGTTTCTCTGCACATTCCATTGTGCTGTCCCTTTGATCCCAGAGGGCCTTCACTACGTCCACTTTATTGTAAAGTAGCTCACCGCTCAGAGGAGCAACAGCAGCTAATCTATCAACCTGCTCGTAACCTGACACAGATTGACCTTGGCTCAACCCAGCCTTGAAAAATCGGCACCTAATGATGTCCTGGAAGAGCAAAGGTGGCCAACCTGATGTTGACCCCGTCATCCGCACGTACTGATTGATCTGTAAAAATATGAATCTTGCATCCTATGCCCAGTACGTGACTGGTATAAAAAGTATCCTTTATTTTACCTTACTCATATGTGTCCAGTTTCGCTTTATCCTGTTAACAAGATAAAGTATAGACGTATGGCCAACTCCTTGTATTGGTAATGTTATGTCATCAATTCATTTGTAATAAATGTGGTATTTTTGTCTTTGGTTAGGTGATGAGAGTGTTGGCCAACCTGTCCATCAATGAGGACGTGGGGCAAGCAGTTGCATCCAAGCCTGACATTGCTAACTTATTACTTAGTATTATTGGTACGTGGTGTTTGGATGTTTTTGGGTATGTGATGCACATAAATAAACAGTCGAGGGAACCCCAGAGGCCATATAAACAGTATGTAATAAAGAAATAGACGTGTCATGAACAGCACTTATAGAAAGAAGAATAAATATAGGAAGACACTAGACAAACAGGTCAAGTAACAAATGCAAACACACCATACGATGATGCTGTCTTTAATGCATAACAAGTATTTAAAGAAGTGAATTGATTGGTTATTTCCTAGGTGAACTGTGCAATGTACAGATATTAACAGACAGGGAATCCTTGAAACCATAGAAACATTATATATAACAAACAATTCAACATGTAATGATAGAAAGAAATAGATAGGAGAACACACTAGACAACATAACAAAATCGAAAGCTGTAGTTACCATGCCAGGAATGTAACTTAGTTACCATGCCAGGAATTGAACGTAGTTACTAAGCCTGGAATTGAACCTGTAACCTCCATCTGATGTTGGCATTGATGTTGAACACTGTTTGTGTTGTTGTTGTTGTTTTTTTAAAACCAATGCTTAGTTAATATAAATTTCTAAGACCAGTAATACAACAACCTGTTTACCAAATACTATTTTATAACTTAGGGCTGTCTTACATAAAAATGAGTACCAAGATATGACCTGGAAAGTAATCGATCTAGCACCGTCAGTCAGGTGCCATCTCCACAATGAAGGTTGGCTGCAGTGAATCTCCACATTATGTCTTTCCTGTGTATGTACACTCTCTCACACTGCTGTTTGTCCATCTCTTAATGTAATCCTGCCATATGTATCACTGTCTAACTCTTGCTGTTTAGCACCATATTCACAGTTAAAGTTGGTGAACACAATTCCATCCATGATCTTAAAAGGAGTGCACAGAATGAAGGACTAGACTGGTCCCTATCCAAAGAAGGAGTGAACATTGATAATGAGTGCAAAGGTGGCTGATTAGTCCAATATGAGACTGGAAAGTTCTTGAGCAGTGCGGACAACAATGGAAGTCGCTGTACGTGTGGGATTAGTGATACGGTTCTTTCTAGTCTGCCTCTGTTTCTCTGCCTGTACAACCTTCCTATGTAGCGTGTATTGGCACAACAAGAGGAGGCTGAAGATGAAGAGTGTTATAAAGATGGGGCATGAATTATGTTTCAGATCCACATGGATTTATACCTAATAATATGGTATATCCATGAGTGTGGAGTTATGTGAAATCCATTGCTCAATGTTTTGATGCTTTGTAAAGAAACCAGTGAAGAAATTTGTTTATTTTACAGATCAGAAAGATATTAATGATCATGAAGAGCTGGTGATCAATGGTGTTGTGGCCATTAACAACTTGTCCTACTACATCATGCAGGACTCTTCTCAGATGCAGTGTCAGCAGAATATGGCTCAGTGTAAGTATCTTACCACTGTCATCTCATTGCATTTCTAGGTACAACGCAGGAAAGTCACCCCATCTCGTTGACTGTGAGATTTTGCAGAGGATTTCCTAGGTACTACTATAGTCTATGGGTGTCATGTAGTCCTCATTTTGAACATTTTAAGCACATCCATCACCTATGAGCGTAAAAATACAAAAACATCAATGATTCTATACTCATGAACTGTCACACCTTCTGCGCTTCCCCCTGCAGTAGTTCTTCCGAGCATGCAGGCGCCTTGGGCACCTGAGACCTACTCACAACAATAACACATTCTAGAAACAACAGTTGTTCACAGAAAAGAGAGTTGCGAAAAAGAAAGTTGTGCACTTTCATCTGGGAGACAGTGTGTCGACTGTATTGAATGAAACCAAGCCACTTTTCAGCAAGCTGTGTATAGACGAGGAAGGAAGACATCTCATAACACCCCTAGAACATAGGACAGCCCGTGGGAACTGCTTGAAATCTTGTGGCCAATTAGATGGGGGCGACTTTCATGAGTAGTACCCATTTCTGTTTTATTTTTCTGTATATTTGATCATTGCCTCAGAAACATGGCCGCCTCCCCAGAGACCCCCGAACCCACACAGGGAAATTAATCTCCAGCATGCTTACCTCTCACCCTGGATGTTCATCCTGCTTTTCATCCATCTCTTTATGTTAACTACCTACTTGTTTTTACTCTCTGCTTCTCACTTACTTGCTTTTGACCTTTCACTCCAAACCTTTGCCTTAATACTTTCCAGTATGGTTTGTATGAGTTTTTTGTTTGTTAACCCTGCTCTGAGAAGACTAAATCTAGTCACTTTCGGTTGTGACACAGTCTCATAAATGCCGATATATTGCCATGATTTGTTTTGGAAGAGCGTAGTTAAACCCCAGTGTTTAATAGGTCAGGATATGAATTTAGTAACTACAAATAGCTTGGGGGGGGGGGGGGGGGGGGGGGGGGGGGGGGGGGGGGGGGGTTGGGAGGGGCGGGGGGGTTCCTTATAGCCAGGTTAAGTCCGGTTTTCCTGTACGCCTCAGTGATAGTGGTCACTGGGTCATGGCATGAGCCACCCAATACATATTGGTTTTTTCTTCAGGCTCTGGGGAATGTATTTCATTTAATGCTTCACTGTGTTTATTGATTACCCCTTTATATATCTTTATATTGGGGGGGTTAAATGTAGATAAATATTTTAAAATATTATTAGTTACAGTATAATATGCTCGTTTTTAAAGCAATTTTTTTTCTAGGAATTCCTGTAGGTTCATGGTCCATTTTCTTTTGTGTTCAAATTCAATATGGCCATAGTATATGCAAAATAATTGTCTATCAGAGTGTTCAGTGGCAAACTACAGGACGTAAATTTGCCTCCAAAAACCACAACAGCCAAAAAAATGCTGGGTTTGGTTCTGCAATGTCCTGTACAGGATGCGCAACTAATTTATTTTAGCAAATTGTTCATGCACTTTTGCCTTACAGTTCAATATATTAACAGAAAATGTTCTCCTTTAACAGCTCTACTAAAATTGATCATGAACAACAATGTGGAAGGAATTCTAGAGGCTGCCAGGGTGTTTGGGAATCTGACAAGACATAAGCAAATCCGAGACTTCCTGTCACAGAACAAGGGTAAACTTTTTCTGGCTTTTGTAAAAACTAAAAAGATAAACCTGAAATTCCACCTGAACCAACCACTTTGGGCAGAGGGGTGCACTGGGGAGAATACTGCCTTATGCCAGGAAGAGAAAAAGCAAACTGAAAACTTAATGTAATGGCAGAACAGACCACGCCCTTAGCCTTGGTTGCTTTAAGAAAAGGGACATGACAAAAAAGCTCTGACAAGTGGGCAGAGCACAGCTCTTGACCTGGCACCTTCTGCAGCATGCTTTATTTTAAACGTATTAGAATTACCTTTTCTTTGGAATAAACAAGGCTGACTGAGGAGGAATTGTGCTTTATTCAGTGGCAACACGTGATCTTTACAGTATTGCCCAGGCTTTGTGCTATGGAGAGCAGATTGCTCTTAATGCGAACTGGTATTGCTAGTCACACTCGCCATCACTGTGGGCTGTAAATCCCATGCCTGCTTATAGCTTCCAGTGCAATATGGTATATAGGCATACCAACTGTTTTAGTTTTGGCAAGTTATTTGCTTCTAGACACGGTTGACTGTTACACTTCTCCCCATATATAGACTGAATTTATTTAGTTCCATCGCCCAGCTACTGAGTTAATGGAAGGCGTGACACTGTCAGCTGTGGATTTCACTTGGAGTGCATTTTGACTATGCCCAATATGGTTTATGTTGTGAAATGGAAATTTTAATAAATGGGGGATTGGCCTGCCACAGAATTGTTTGGGAATCTGACAAGACATAAGCAAATCCGAGACTTCCTGTCACAGAACATGGGTAAACATTTTCTGGCTTCCTTTTTAGATAGATTATGTTCAAGTGCCATTTGTTGTAATTACTTTCATCTATGATGGACTGTTTGTATTGGCACTTCTGATGGCTGCTTAAGCTTTAAATGCATGTGTATGCTTTTGGCTTTGCCAAAACTGCAGTCTGTTTAAATTTTATCTCAAGGGACAGCGATGGGCTTTCTGTGTTGTTCTCACTGCCCAGGAACAGAGCAATTATGGGATGATCCATATGCAATTAAGTTTGAATGTGTTTAACTGATAAGATTAGAAGACTATCTGGAATGTAGGAAAGTTGCTGCCAGGTGTAGTTTTAGGATATACTAATTTCGGACTTTAGATTTGACATTGTTGTTATTTTCAGTTTTTTATTTTTTTTTATTGTGGTCATGAGTTAGCTAACTATTTCTCTTCTTCTTTTTCTTTTTCTTCTTCTTCTTGGTTCACCAGCTGTAAACTTCAGTAGAAAGTTCTGGTTTTTATCCACTTCTGGGCTTTATTCTTCTTCTAGAGTTTTACGTGCATGTCCAGTTTATAAATCTAGCTTACTTGAGCACCATGTGGAGAAGCTAAGTGAAAATAAACTAACACAGAACCAGTATTAGTTTCTAAATTCTGCGGAATGTACTGAAAAGGGGATCAAAGCAGTTGTGGACAGGATTATTTTGTTTATGCAGGGAAGGGGTGGTCAGTCGACTAACTAAGCTAAAAAATGTCAGTATCATCATCATTATGTGCCACATTAGGTGTGTTCTTCATATTTTGCCATCTCATATGATCAGCGGAATTGGAAAACAAGTCATTGTTCTTCGTCTCACCCCATCCAAATTGCTTCGCCATGCAGATATTTATCTCTGTGCCTCCCCACATAGGTTCCAGGGCCCCATTTTGAGGAAAAAAGAATACTGCACCCTCCCCCCCCCATCCCCAATCCCCAAACAAGTATGTTGTAAAAGGCAACTACTAATAAGGAGTATCCTTGAAAGGTGAAGTGCATCTGCCTGAGAGTTGTCCCCTTGCTCTTCTGTCAATCTTGCCAGTCTTGACTAAGTTTTTAAAAAGAGACAGCTTCTAAAACTTGCCTGTGTTGTGTTTTCAGTGGATGCAATGATGGTGACACTGCTGGACTCTGGGAGCAGGGAGCTGGTGTATATCGCATGTGGTGTTCTGATCAACTTTATGCAGGATGAGGAAAAAAGACCGTTGCTGAAGAAGGAAGGAGGGATTAAAAAGTGAGCATATTGGTTATTATTTAAAGCCACACTTAATAACCAAATTCGTAATTTGTATAAGTTACCACTGATTAATGACTGGCGTTATGAGGGCTAATGGACTGCAAATGCTGGGGCATACAGAGATTATTGCAGATAAAAGAGAGAGGAAAAAACTGTGTGCACAGAAGAGTTGAAAAGAAGTAGACCACATGGCAGACCAAGAAGATGGTGTAGAGATAATATATGAGAAGGAGAAAACTGGAGTACTTTGTGATGGTGGGAAAGATGAAGGGGGAAAATGGTAGAGGGGGGACAGAGGGAGAAAATGCTGGACAGTTTGACATCATGATATGGAAGATCACATGTGTAAGAATTGATTTAAAGTACACTTGACAGAAGGTCATGGATAGACATGACTACCAACCCCACACGGCATGGACTAGAAGAAGACAGAAGGTCATGGATAGACATGACTACCAACCCCACACGACATGGACTAGAAGAAGACAGAAGGTCATGGATAGACATGACTACCAACCCCACACGACATGGACTAGAAGAAGACAGGAGACAGAAGGTCATGGATAGACATGACTACCAACCCCACACGACATGGACTAGAAGAAGACAGAAGGTCATGGATAGACATGACTATCAACCCCACACGACATGGACTAGAAGAAGACAGGAGACAGAAGGTTATGGATAGACATGACTACCAACCCCACACGACATGGACTAGAAGAAGACAGAAGGTCATGGATAGACATGACTATCAACCCCACACGACATGGACTAGAAGAAGACAGGAGACAGAAGGTCATGGATAGACATGACTACCAACCCCACACGACATGGACTAGAAGAAGACAGAAGGTCATGGATAGACATGACTACCAACCCCACACGACATGGACTAGAAGAAGACAGGAGACAGAAGGTCATGGATAGACATGACTACCAACCCCACACGACATGGACTAGAAGAAGACAGAAGGTCATGGATAGACATGACTATCAACCCCACACGACATGGACTAGAAGAAGACAGGAGACAGAAGGTCATGGATAGACATGACTACCAACCCCACACGACATGGACTAGAAGAAGACAGGAGACAGAAGGTCATGGATAGACATGACTACCAACCCCACACGACATGGACTAGAAGAAGACAGGAGACAGAAGGTCATGGATAGACATGACTACCAACCCCACACGGCATGGACTAGAAGAAGACAGGAGACAGAAGGTTATGGATAGACATGACTACCAACCCCACACGGCATGGACTAGAAGAAGACAGGAGACAAAAGGTCATGGATAGACATGACTACCAACCCCACACGACATGGACTAGAATAAGACAGGAGACAGAAGGTTATGGATAGACATGACTACCAACCCCACACGACATGGACTAGAAGAAGACAGGAGACAGAAGGTCATGGATAGACATGACTACCAACCCCACACGACATGGACTAGAAGAAGACAGGAGACAGAAGGTTATGGATAGACATGACTACCAACCCCACACGACATGGACTAGAAGAAGACAGGAGACAGAAGGTCATGGATAGACATGACTATCAACCCCACACGACATGGACTAGAAGAAGACAGGAGACAAAAGGTCATGGATAGACATGACTACCAACCCCACACGACATGGACTAGAAGAAGACAGGAGACAGAAGGTCATGGATAGACATGACTACCAACCCCACACGACATGGACTAGAAGAAGACAGGAGACAGAAGGTCATGGATAGACATGACTACCAACCCCATACGACATGGACTAGAAGAAGACAGGAGACAGAAGGTTATGGATAGACATGACTACCAACCCCACACGACATGGACTAGAAGAAGACAGGAGACAGAAGGTCATGGATAGACATGACTATCAACCCCACACGACATGGACTAGAAGAAGACAGGAGACAGAAGCTTATGGATAGACATGACTATCAACCACACACGACATGGACTAGAAGAAGACAGGAGACAGAAGCTTATGGATAGACATGACTACAACCCCACACGACATGGACTAGAAGAAGACAGGAGACAGAAGGTCGTGGATAGACATGACTACAACCCCACACGACATGGACTAGAAGAAGACATGAGACAGAAGGTCATGGATAGACATGACTACAACCCCACACGACATGGACTAGAAGAAGACAGGAGACAGAAGGTCGTGGATAGACATGACTACCAACCCCACACGACATGGACTAGAAGAAGACAGGAGACAGAAGGTCATGGATAGACATGACTACAACCCCACACGACATGGACTAGAAGAAGACAGGAGACAGAAGGTCGTGGATAGACATGACTACCAACCCCACACGACATGGACTAGAAGAAGACAGAAGGTCATGGATAGACATGACTACCAACCCCACACGACATGGACTAGAAGAAGACAGGAGACAGAAGGTCATGGATAGACATGACTACCAACCCCACACGACATGGACTAGAAGAAGACAGGAGACAGAAGGTCATGGATAGACATGACTACAACCCCACACGACATGGACTAGAAGAAGACAGGAGACAGAAGGTCGTGGATAGACATGACTACCAACCCCACACGACATGGACTAGAAGAAGACAGAAGGTCATGGATAGACATGACTACCAACCCCACACGACATGGACTAGAAGAAGACAGGAGACAGAAGGTCATGGATAGACATGACTACCAACCCCATACGGCATGGACTAGAAGAAGACAGGAGACAGAAGGTCATGGATAGACATGACTATCAACCCCACACGAGACATGAACTAGAAGAAGACAGGAGACAGAAGGTCATGGATAGACATGACTACCAACCCCACACGACATGGACTAGAAGAAGACAGGAGACAGAAGGTCATGGATAGACATGACTACCAACCCCACACGACATGGACTAGAAGAAGACACTAGACAGAAGGTCGTGGATAGACATGACTACCAACCCCACACGACATGGACTAGAAGAAGACAGGAGACAGAAGGTCATGGATAGACATAACTACCAACCCCACACGACATGGACTAGAAGAAGACAGGAGACAGAAGGTCATGGATAGACATGACTACCAACCCCATACAGCATGGACTAGAAGAAGACAGGAGACAGAAGGTCATGGATAGACATGACTACCAACCCCACACGACATGGACTAGAAGAAGACACTAGACAGAAGGTCGTGGATAGACATGACTACCAACCCCACACGACATGGACTAGAAGAAGACAGGAGACAGAAGGTCATGGATAGACATGACTATCAACCCCACACAACATGGACAAGAAGAAGACAGGAGACAGAAGGTCATGGATAGACATGACTACCAACCCCATACGGCATGGACTAGAAGAAGACAGGAGACAGAAGGTCATGGATAGACATGACTATCAACCCCACACGAGACATGAACTAGAAGAAGACAGGAGACAGAAGGTCATGGATAGACATGACTACCAACCCCACACGACATGGACTAGAAGAAGACAGGAGACAGAAGGTCATGGATAGACATGACTACCAACCCCACACGACATGGACTAGAAGAAGACAGGAGACAGAAGGTCGTGGATAGACATGACTACCAACCCCACACGACATGGACTAGAAGAAGACAGGAGACAGAAGGTCATGGATAGACATAACTACCAACCCCACACGACATGGACTAGAAGAAGACAGGAGACAGAAGGTCGTGGATAGACATGACTACCAACCCCATACGACATGGACTAGAAGAAGACATGAGACAGAAGGTCATGGATAGACATGACTACCAACCCCACACGACATGGACTAGAAGAAGATGTCTGCATTAACCAACCTTATGGGCTTGTAATGCTGCAGAAGAAGGTCAGATCATTGATACTGTATGATCTTACAAGGCAAAAGGCTATTGACAAGCATGATGAGCAATGCCACATGAAGCCCCAGATTACCCATTAAGCACACTAAGCACATGCTTAGAGCATCACAAAGGGAGGGGGTACCACATAAATTTTCAATAGCCTTACAGCTGAGCATTTTCTTTCTCCTTTGAAGTAAATTTTTTTAAATCCCATAAAAAGAAGAGTGCAATCAGGCAATCTGGATGCCTTATCTCTGTCAAGTATAGAAGCAATGTGTTGCATAAATTAGTCTGAGGACCTTTTGTGCCCTAAGCACAATAGATTTTGGTTGCGCTCCCTGCCCCCAGCACTTAACCCTGTGGATTCCAGGGCCCCGTTGTGGGGACCCACTGCCTCTCAGAACAAGTATGTCGTAAGAGTCGGCTAACTTGGGGTTTCCTTCTGAGTCAGAATGTGTCGGCCTGAGAGGGAAGGAACCAACAGTCTGCATATAAATAACCCAGATCTGCTTGCAACACTCAAGTTCTGGAACAAGACTAAAGTCCACAGATGAACAAACAACCAGAACTTTCTACTGGAGTTTACAGAATAATAATAATAAGAAGAATATGATCATCATGTGTTACTTACTATATTTACATTGTATTGTATTTTGAAAATATGTTTTAAAATATTAGTTTGTAGGACCCTTGACCAGATTAATTTACTTTCCATTATTTTCATTTCCTGGAACTCAACAGATTTTTAATTTGAATGCGGTCTCGGCAGGGATTTTGTTTTAATTCCGAAGTACCACTGTATTTATTTGTTATAGAACTTTTTCTATATAGCTATTTATTTGTATAGCAACGCATCATATATAGCTAACATCTTGCTTTCATTGTTAAAGATACCCCTATTATATGCAGTTTTTGTGTCAAATTGTAGCTCATTTATATTGCTTGTTTATTCTGTTAGACTTATTGATGTGTTGCGAGACTTTGGCCGAGAAGACTGGCAACTGAGTGGAAGTGTTTGCAAAGTGCTGGTCAATTACAGCTGCCGAATGCACTCTAGTGAAGCCACATTTGGACAGGTGGAGGTGGCAGAGCTGTCCGAATTGCTTGCTGAGTACTTAGGTATAGTTTATCTGTGTGTAGGTAAAGTTTATCTAAGTCTAGGTAGGGTTTTTCTGTCTTAGGTGTAGTTTATCTGTGTATGAGTATAGTTTATCTGTGTATGAGTATAGTTTATCTGTGTGTAGGTAAAGTTTATCTGTGTGTATGTAAAGTTTATCTGTGTCTAGGTAGGGTTTATCTGTCTTAGGTGTAGTTTATCTGTGTATGAGTATAGTTTATCTGTATCTTAGGTTATCATTTCTATATATTAATGCACTTTTTATTCTTGACATTTGTTCTCAGTTTAGTTTGGTGCAAAAATACAAAATGATATGAGTTTTTTTTTTTTTTGTCAGATAGTTGTGAAGCTATATTATTTTTAGTAGACACTAAATATCATAGTATTTTGGAAGGTGCAAGAGTTAACAGGTTTGGTAGTCAGTGGCTTAAGGTGTAACTGATCCCATAGCACACTGATTGCACATGTCATCACACTGATTGCGCTTGTAATCACACTGATTGCACATGTCATCACTCTGAGTGCACATCACCACACTGGATGCACATGTCATCATGCTGATTGTACATGTCATCACACTGATTGCACATGTCATCACGCTGATTGCTCATGTCATCACACTGATTGCACATGTCATCACGCTGATTGCTCATGTCATCACACTGGTTGCACATGTCATTATGCTGATTGTACATGTCATCACACTGATTGCACATGTCATCACGCTGATTGCACATGTCATCACGCTGATTGCTCATGTCATCACGCTGATTGCTCATGTCATCACGCTGATTGCTCATGTCACCACACTGATTTCACATGTTACCACACTGATTGCACATGTCATCACGCTGATTGCATATGTCATCATGCTGATTGTTCATGTCACCACACTGATTGCACATGTCATCACGCTGATTGCTCATGTCATCATGCTGATTGCTCATGTCATCACGCTGATTGCTCATGTCATCACGCTGATTGCTCATGTCACCACACTGATTTCACATGTCACCACACTGATTGCACATGTCATCACGCTGATTGCATATGTCATCATGCTGATTGTTCATGTCACCACACTGATTGCTCATGTCACCACACTGATTTCACATGTCACCACACTGATTGCACATGTCATCACACTGATTGCAGATGTTATTCTCCCTCTCATATGTCCATTCTTGCCAGATCCGCCCCTCATTCTTAATTTCTTCCTCCTTACACATGTTATTTCATCTAACCTTGTGCTTTCTATCAATGTTCATTTATAAATGGTATTCAGAATGTCTCCTTGTCATTTCTTGCTAGATCCCCTCCCAGTTCCTAATTTCTTCCTTCGTACACATGTTATTTCATCTAACCTCTTGCCTTCTATCAGCTTCTGTTTATAAATGGTATTCAGAATGTCTCTTGTGTCATTTCTTGCTAGATCTACTCCCAGTTCCTAATTTCTTCATTCGTACACATGTTATTTCATCTAACCTCTTGCCTTCTATCAGCTTCTGTTTATAAATGGTATTCAGAATATCTCCTGTGTCATTTATTGCTAGATCCGCTCCTAATTTCTTCCTTCTGACACATATTATTTGTGTTATTTCATAAAACCTCATGCCTTATATCAGCATTCGTTTATAAATGGTATTCAGAATATCTTCTATGTCCAGTGTGAGGCTTCCCATTGCTGTTACTTATATAGCCAGAAAATCTACTCTTTCATGTTTTCAGACCATTTGCACACATGCTTTATCAAGAATGAAAATGTCAAGATGAAAAATAGCAGTGTTATTCTCATTTCAGACAAAGAGTGTGCTCTGGGAGAGTCTCTGGTCAATGCTGCAGATGTGGAGATGAGAGAGTATATCGAAGATTCTTGGCATGATGAATTCTACAAAGTTGGAACTCAGCTGTTGAAGCGAATAGAATCGCATTCATCTCCCCTGGAGCCTCTTGAAGCACCGTCTTGATTATAAAATCTTCACAGATTTTGGAAGGAAGTATGAATTATGCAACATAATTTAGCTGTGAAAATGATCACGAATCACAATGCACTTCTGTCAGTCTTTAATTTAGATGTAGTTCGGAAATTATTTTCTCAATGAATCAAGCCTGCTTATGTAATTGTCTTCTTTAAATTGCTGTCTAGACCATCTAATTCCACAGTTTTCTAAAACAGGGCCATACAATGTTTCATAGTTTGACATATTATATTTCAAATTAAAGTTTAATAAAAAATGTCAGGAAGTTAATTATATTGAAATCAGAAACAGAATCTACAGAAAGTAAGTACTTCGCGTCCTTTTTAGGACGAAATTTTTCGTTATTTGAAGCCCTACTCTGGCTTTTGCCAGAGGCCACCATATGGCCTGGCCATAAGTGTGGCCTAAGGGCTGAACGCGGTTTCTAGGACCTCTCCACGGTGATCCTCACCCACATAGTGGCACTTTGTGTCATCGGGTGTTTGTCACATGTGTGATGTCCTGGTGGGATAGAAAGTCAGTCAGTCATCTACAGAAAGTATTACTTGTCAGAATTAGAAATAGTAGTTTAGAAATTTGTTTATTGTCTGTTGTTGTCTATGGTTTTTTTTTACCTGAAAGTTTCTGGAAAGTGAGCCGACGAGGCAAATCTCTGGTGGGCTACTTTTTTTTTTTTATTTCCAGCTGCTAAGGGATTTTTTTTTATGTGCGCAACAGTACACATGGGCATCCAATCTTACTATTTAGAGACCAGGAGAAATTACTAGAAGTCCACGTGAAAAAATCCCAGCCTTTACCGAGGCTTGAACCCGGGACCTCCAGCACTCTAGGCGGACGCCATGCATCAAGACCACACAGCCCCCAGTTCTTTTTAATAGTCGTACTGAAGAACTTGTTATAGATACTTCAACAAATCTCAAACTGCAATCTAGATTTGAAGTTTTTGTGTGTAAATGATACATTCATTAATTGTCCTGTTGTGCCATTGTGTGTCACATAGGGCTTGCCCTCTGTTCCTCCATTCCATTCTATGATGTGCGATCAGTTAAGTATCATGGATGGAATCCAGTCCAGCAGCTTTGGCCTCTCTCCCCACTGTTCATCTTAGCGTTTCTCTTGGGCGTACTTACCTCCTTAATCCCTTTTATTTCCCATTTGGTAAGATAATGTTTGATGATTCTCTGCTGGTTTCTTCTCAGGATGTCTCCAATGTAGCGCCATCTTCTCTGTCTTATAAATGTTGCTACTAGTGGTTGCCCAGACATTTCTCTTATTTCTTCACTTCTTTTGAATTCATTCCAGTTTATTTTATTCATTTTTCTCAGGCATTTGTTTTTGAATGCATTAAACTTTCATTCCCTGTCTTTAGTGTTTCTCCAACTTTCGCTTGCATATGTTAAAATTGAAATTACATTAGAATTGAAAATACGTTAACTTGGTTTTAAAACTATATAATTTAGAGTCTGTGATACGTAGACCCCTTAAATTTGTTCCACAAGTTCCTAAAGAGAGAAATCTAGTGTCAAATAATATTTTTTTTGACATTGTTTGTCAAATGATATATTCTTTGACATTGTTTGTACATTTGCTTTTAGCATTGTAAATTAAATTCATAATAATTTTACAGCAAAAAAGCCATCTACTTATATGATTAAGCAAACAAATTCTTCTGTGGCGCCAATGAAATGTATATTATTTTATTAACTTATTCAGTGTATCATATCTTTACATTTTAGAGAGATGCTCCATCTCTATACATTATCTTCCACCCTTTATCTTCACATGGAGCATAGACCCCCAACAAACTCACTAGTCATTCTATCATTTGCAGTCACTATAGCTCACCCGTGCTCTCCCCATCTTCTCCACTTCACTCTCTTCTTCTTCTTCTTCTTCACTTCCTCATTTACCGCTGTGGGTGTCGAGGGAGATATAAGGTTCTGTTTCTAGCTCTTCTGGCTGCCTCGACCATAGGCACATCGTGCTGTTAAAGAGTTTCTCTGATGTTATCCTTCCATCTTGTTCTTGGTCTACCCCGTGCTCTACGTCCTTCTTCTCTTTCCATGTATGCTTTGTATGGTATGGTGTCACAAGGCATTCTCTCTAAGTGGGCAAACCATTTCACTTGCTGTCTTTGTATGTAATCCAGAATTGGTTCTGTGCCGACTTGTTCTCTTATGATCTCATTCCTGATCTTATCTCTTATGGTCACTCCTACAGCCCTTCTCAGACATCTCATTTCCGTGGTTACTAATTTTCTTTTATGGTTTGTTTGTGAGTGACCATGTCTGGCACTGGTAGCACAGAGTTGGAATAAATATGCTTTGAATAAGATGTCTCTTTGTGCTGATTGGGATTGTCTTATGCTGTAAGAGGGGGGCTAGCTGTCCCAATACTTGGTTTGCTTTACTGCATCTAATGTCAATTTCTTTATCCAATTTCCCATCTTCGGTAAATGTAGTTCCCAGATATTTAAACTCAGATGCCTGTTTAATGCCTTTGTATTCTATTGCTATGTTTAGATCTGTCTTCTTTTTTCCTATTGACATTACTTCTGTCTTTTCAGTGTTGATTCTCATATTATTTGTTTTACATTCTTCATTCATGGATTTTAGATGTTGTTGCAATTTTATGGCTGTATCTGCTATCAAGGCCTGGTCATCTGCAAAGAGTAATTCGTTGATCTTACTAAGATCTTCATTCATGGGCTTGGCATTCTTGCATATACTGTCGATGTAGGTGATAAACAGCAGTGGTGATAAGACACACCCTTCTTACTCCAGATGTCACTGTGAAAGGATGAGATGTTCCCTGATTTATTCTAACTACACTTCTACAATCCCTGTATAAACTTTTGCACACTTCGATGAGGTGTTTGCTAACTCCATATCTTGCCATTACTTTTCATAATAATTGTCTGTTGACTCTGTCAAATGCCTTCTCCTGGTCTACGAATGCCACAAATAAGTTCTTATTGTATTCAATGTTCTTTTCTATTAACTGTTTTAGTGTGAAGATTGCATCTGTGCAGCTTCTATTTCTCCTAAATCCCATCTGTTCTTCTGCCAGCTGTGGTTCTATCACTGGTCTCAGTCTTGTTTCTATTATCTTAGCATTCATTTTGCCAACATGGCTTAAAAGAGAGATGCCTCGATATTGACCGCATTCTCGTTTGCTTCCTTTGTTCTTCCACAATGGTATAACTATGGACTTCACTCTCTAGTACCTTTTTTTTAATGTAAAATAAATGTAAAATGTTAAATATTCCTTTCTTTTCTGTTTTTTTTTTTTTAATGTCCATTATTCCCACAATAGAACACATGACTTCTGGCTTAATATGGAGGATAGGCATGACAGAATGTTAAGCTTCAAAGTTAATTTTGCTCGCGACAGTGGTTTGCTAATCCAGTTTCCACATTTGGACGGAAGTCAACAGTTTTACTGTCTGAGCTACTGAATTAAGTGCGTGGGGCAGCACTGTGAGCTGTATTCTTTTTCATGGGGAATGCCTTTAATTTGTGCAGTAGCTGTGTTGTGGTATTCAGTATAGCGGGTAGCCAGTTTATGTGTGGCCCGGCGAAATACCATATGAAATAATTTCCATGTGTATGGTCAGCTTATCGTAATTGACTACTTCCATCAATGACAAATTTCCCTCCTAATGGCAACTGTTGGCTTTCTTTGCATTGAAACCCACAGGGGCATAAAAATAAAGGAAGGCCAAAAAACACATGGAGAAGAGAGATGGAGAATGAAGTTCGAAAGATTGGGAGGACATGGGGATAGCTGTATGCGATAGCGAAGGATAGAACTACTTGGCATGAGTTGATTGAGGGCCTATGCTCCATTGGGGGCTAGAAAGGCAGAAGAAGAAGAATGGCAACTGTTGGCTTTGGCACCTCTGGCAACTGCCATATGCATTTATTGTGTGTGCATTCAATTTTTTCACCAGTTTTTCAACTGGAACAGTAACAGATTTTCACTGACATAGGAACGGAGCAAGTATGGGGTGACCTAATTTGCAGTGAGGTTGAAACCTCAACTACGACTAGAACATAGGCTTTTAACCAACTCATGCCAAGCCGTCCTATTCTTTGCTGTCTTATGCTGTTCACTGTATATGTCCTCCATGTCTTTCTAACTTCACTCTTTATTTCCCCTTAATTACATACAGTGAAAAAACTATTGGTTTGATTTCTTGCAGTTTAAAAAAAAAATTATGTCAACAGCAATTAATGTCATGAATGAATTAAGCTAGTGGTTCCAAAACTGTGCACCGCGGCCCCTGGGGAACCGCGACCTTTCACAGGGGCCCAGCGAAATATTCGAATAGAAACGGTTTTAATTTTTTTTTCATTTACATATGAATATTAATACTTTTACTTAGGTTAGGGTGCCATGGAAAAATGTTAATTTAAAAAAGGTGCCGCGACTTAGAAAGGTTTGGGATACACTGAATTAAGCCATACCATTTTATAAACTATAATATGGCAGCGTACTTACAGTAATAAAACTTCATTCCATTTGTTGTTGTGAATTGTAAATACAGGTTTTGTCACTCTGGTGTGAACAGTTGAAATATATACAACTGGAAAATAACTGAAATATTTTGACTATGTTATTGCCGTTAAAGTTTGACTTTGTAAAATATGTTGCATGTTAGATTTATTAATGGGTCAGTTTTATTTATATCTGTTGTGTTTTGTTTTTTACAATGACCGTATTTTTCCGGTCTGGTAATCTTAGTTTGAGCTTCATAGCAAATGGGTCACCCAATAGTTGCTTCACTTCTGGGCCAGCAACAACAAAAAACACAGAATGTCCATCACTATGGCTTGCTGAGAAATGTATGCAGACCGCAGTCTCATCATATACACTAGCATACACACACATTAAAAGCAAGGCAGCCATCAGAAGTGCTAACATAAACAGCCCTACTCTTGAAATGCAGTTCATCATCGACGGAGGCAGCAGTTACAAACAAAACA